AAAGAGGCAAGTCGAAAACACACAAGAGCAGCAAAACAAGAAACAGAAAGCACAAAAAAAGAAGTCAGCCATAACAGATCACTGCACAAGAGAAAACCATGTAATAGACTGGGACAACACAAGGATCATAAACACCGAACAACAGAAATACAAAAGATGGATAAAAGAAGCTATCGAGATAAGGAGATGTGGATGTGGGACTATGAACAGAGACGATGGGGTCTACACACTGGATCATGCATGGGACTGCATCATCGGAGAGGGGAGAGCAGGCAGCAGTAGGCGACAACGTCCTCTGCTGCCCACGGATAAACGGAGCAGGAAGTGGTGCCACCATCAGCGTCAGCTCTGAGGATGTTTGCAGAACGAACGAAGCTGTCAGCAAGGTAAAGAGAAACCTTTTCTGTGATTTAAAAAAGAACCAACAGTGCAGTTAGAAAAGCAACACAGCAAGAACATACCAAATATGCTTAAAGAAAACTACCATTGTGGGATTTGTCTGGATGTGTAAATATTAGTATATATGTTGTTGATGCAGTGTAAATGAACATGGAACATTGTAAATGCTGTGAACTGAACTGAACACTAGGTGGCAGCAGATCACTGCTCATATATATAGAGGTGTAGTGTAGAGTTCATGGGAAGTTCTGCTGAAGGTTTCAAGATGAATGATGTATGTTTGTCCCTCCTGCTAGAACAAAGTTCATTTGGATAAAGTTACTGCCTGCCTGCTTTCTGCCGACTACAAAACATAACTGATGATTTTTTTCTACCTTTCTTTTTGTCATGAAGAGTAATGTGTCATGATTCAGTTAATTGTTGTTTTAGTTGTTTGGAGCATGTTACAAGGTTTTTATGGTCTTGTAGCCTAGGCTCTGCTGTTTTGTCAGATGTTCAGCTTGATGACATTTCTTAAAATATAGGGTACACATTTTGACGCTAAACCTTCCGACCCCCAATGTGGGGGCGCTCAGACTCAAATGGGTAAAAATTTAACGAGTTATTTTTTTAAATTAATTAATCATAGTTAACGCGCTAAATTCCCACCCCTGGTTAAAACACAAAATAAACAGAACTAGAATCTTTATCATTTTCATCGGTTATTTACATATCACACCTGAAGACGTGTGTGCAACTTTGCTCGTATCAATTTAAATTTTCCCTTTCATTATGTAAATAAAACTGGAGTTTAAGACTGTGTTTTGCCACACAATTCTAAAAGGTACATATTTGCAAAGTGAAAGACTTCAACAAGCTGAACTAGCTTAGGCAGAAGTTATTAGAAGTAATGTATGTGTTATAATTTGAGGATGATTTTTATAATTTTCTTTGCTTGTTGAACATCCATTTCTTTGAACCCAGAAAAGGAGTTTAAGGTCATCAAGTTTAGTCCTGCTTTGGTCCTCAAAATAATAAAACCAACAATAAAGAGACAAAGGCTTTTACTTCACTCCAGCTCACATTGGTGACAAACATTTGCATGCATAATTTAAGGTCAACAGTGTGATGTCAAACAGATAGAGAGGAAGACGGTGTTTATGCTAATGCCTTGTCAGACAGCGAGGGCAGCGACTCTCTGACACCATCTATAAATAATGAGACAAGATCACAGAAAAGCTCTGAGTATGAGCCAAACAACGCTGCTCGTGGCAAACATGGACTCCTGACAGCAGGCTGAGTGTGTGTACAGCTTTTGGGAGTGTGTTTGTTTGTTTATTGATGTTTGTGTTTGTCTCACAGCTGGGGGTGTTCAACCTGTTTGTAAACATGTGTGTAAACATATTTGTACATGAGTACGCCTCTGAGATAAAAAGGTATTCTGTGTTATCCGTATGGACAGGAAGAACAAAGCTGAGATCATGAAAATAAAATAAAATTAGACTTTAATAACTGGGGCATCTGTTTATTAAAGTATGGTGGCCTTTAGGTTCAAATTAGAACATTTCACTAAACAAGAATATTTAACAGCATTTTACAAAGTCAGAGACTTCTAAGCTTTTTAGTACAACCATCCACACACTGGCGGTGATAAACCAGCTGCCCCGGGACCACCAGGCCTGGGTTTGAACTAACAACCCATTAACCCAACCCTTGAGCAACCATCGCCCACCGAAAAACAACTATACAAATAAACAAACAAATATGAAACACAACTTTTCATTATAGGAAAATGTAAATGCTAATTATAGTTCTTTTTTATGGGCAGATGTCTTCATTTTGTTTTTATTTCGTAAAAGAAAAACTGTTTAAAAAACACTAAAGGTGGAGTTTCAACATCCAGATGCAAGGATATGGAGTTATTTCTGCTACTGATATCATTATATTGTCTAGAAGCAGCACACGAGGTCAGGGAAGACCCCGTGTGTGTGTGTGTGTGTGTGTGTGTGTGTGTGTGTGTGTGTGTGTGTGTGTGTGTGTGTGTGTGTGTGTGTGTGTGTGTGTGTGTGTGTGTATGTGAGCGCGTGTTTGTGTGTGCGCGCAGGATTAGCGTGCTTTTTCAGTCCTCCGGCTGTAATCAGACGGGACATCGGCTCCACAACGGCTTGAACACCACCCACTGTGAGAGTGCCCCTGTCCCCTTTCACTCCAGTGTGTGTTTGTGACTCTGCTGATGTGTTTGGAGTTAAAATACAAACTTCCCTCCCCAAACTTGAGTTTCAAGCAGCAGCTAAATGAAATCTTTTAACCATGCCTCTTGCATGTTCATTATTTTTATTATTATTTTAGAAAATGTCAAAGCACAAATAGATTTTTTTGAAGTGAAAATTTTGCCCTGAGTAGAAAAGCTGCCGCAGCTCATTGGATTAATGCTTACGAGGTTTTCTTTTATTTTGTTAGATAAACGGCCCTCACTGATCAGGTTAGCCCGAGCCCTCTGACCCTGAACCAGCATGTCTGCTGTTGGTTTGACCCTTGACCTTTTCTTTTGTCTTTGAGACTCAATGCCCCAAATGCACTCCCACACACACACACACACACACACACACACACACACACACACACACACACACACACACTCACACACACACACACTCCTACTTGGCCTATTATCCTTGACAGCCTTTATGCTCATATTAAGATCTACTTCAGTGATCTCAGGGCTGTTTCAGCCATAAACTCTCATTTAGAGGAAATTAGCCTGAGTCCGAGTCTTGTTACTATCCCGTCCTTAACAGCATTAGGGCGTTCCTGTGGCTTTTAAATACCAACAAGGATGGATAGTACCATTCCAATAAACCTCCACCATCTTACTTTGTTAGCCATATGTAATAGCCACGCATTTATTGTTTGACATTATCGTATTGCCATTGTGCTGTCCTCTTATTGCCACGCAGCACTCACTGATTGTTATTAAAGAAACAAACAATGAAAGACAAGTTTCGTGATATCATTTCATCTTCTAACCAGACTAGAACCTAGCCAGGTTTACGGTGTTTGAGCAACTCACATAAGAAAAATCCTCAAAACTCAGAGAAGTTCAATTTTCATTTTCCTAATATTAAGAAAATACTTTGATGCTCCAGTGTGGCTGTTTAATCCCAGTTCAGACTCATCTCCATGCCTTAATCTTCCCAGCGAGACGGAGCGCCATCAGACCAAACCATAATCATCTTTTCCAATTACGCTCCATCTCAGACCACTTATTCCACACAAAAGGACCGCACTAATGCCGCACATCGCACAAATGCCTCAGAATTTAGCAAGAGACTTCAGTTTATACATTTGAAACAAATCATGATGAGATGGGCTTTTGTTAGTCAGAGATGTCTTAAAAAAAACTTTTATTTAAGAGCCACTGATCTGCATAGTTGGGCTGAAAATGCTACAGAGCAAAATTTGTTTATTTATTTGTCCAAAATGCACCTCTGCAGGGGAATTTGTTGCACTAAACAGTGTTTTCCAGGTTACTTGTAGCACACAGTGACGTGAATGTGTGCATTTAAGGAAGAGTAGATTTGGATTAGAAGCTGGTTCTGGGTGGGACAAGAGGGGATGGTAGCATGTGTTTGTCTTGGAGTGAAGCAGAGGGGATGGAGTAACGATAAGCACCACTTAGGCTCTTTGATCACAAAGGTTCATCAGTCTGCCGTCTGACCTGAGAAAGTCCTCTGCTGATGGATTAAAATATTCACCTCACACACTTTGTTCGATATTACTGTAACTTCCCAACAAATTCTCAAAAACATCATCAAAGACATATTTACCCAGACGCTTCTTTCCTCCTTCCTGGACTGAGTTTGTCTGAAGACAAAGGGTTAAGGAGGAACAGAGCCTCTGAAGAGGTGCCTGCTTAACCTTTGATCTCATGGTGTGTGAGAGAGACGGAGGACGAAAAATGGAAACTGAGGCTGAGAGACTTCAACTTCAACCGACACATCATCATGTCATTAAATGTAATTCTGCTGGTTAGGCGTTTAACAGTTTCTCTTTCTGTTTTATCAATCCATTTTTTTAGGTAACAAAACTCAGAAGCGTGCAAAATTTGACTTTTTTTTTTTAGAGAAACACATAATACATAAATAATTGCAAAAAGCTCTCAGAAGGGGAGTCAAAGCACCTCATCTTTCTTCCTCCTGTGTCCTACAGACCCCTCCCCTCTCTGGGCAGCAGGTTGTCAGTGAGGCAGTGCAGCTGGTGGAGATCAGAGATGCCAAACAACCTGTCAGAGATAAGAGGAGGACGAGGTATGCGCCGCACTTCCAAAACACTCTGGATCTGGCTGCTGAATGGACGCCGAGAGGCTCCGTAAGACATCGTAGTTAACACCGTTCCAACACCGCTGGATAAGGCTTCACGTGTTATCAGGTCCTTCACGCTCATACGTGTATTAGACCTGATAAAGAGCGCCGCTCTTAAACAAGTTTCCACTGTGGGGGTAAATAACCTTCTGGGAATAGTTTGTCTCTGCTGCTTCAAAAAGGATCCGTCTTACTGTCTGTTGAAAAAATTTATTCAGCTTCACTTTATAAATCTGTATCTCCCCCCCCCCCCCCCCCCCCCGCACACACACACACACACACTCACCCATTAAACAAACATACAAACAAAAAAGTTTGTTCATCACAATAATTCATCTGATAGAGGGACAAAACAGACAAATCATCTTGTTCCACAACAAGGAAACTTTTCAGAGTAATAAATACTATTAGCAGGAACAATGCTTAAAAAACAGCTTATTACACACACACACACACACACACACACACACACAACAAATACAGAAAAAGGAGTAATGTCATGTTAGGAACACCTTATGATGCGTTACTGCATGTTAAAACAGATTCAGGACTTTAAAACAAGCTGATGATGTCACCGGCGAGAGATCTTCACGGTTTGCTACAATATAATGAAAACATTTGGAGGAACGGAGAGGATGCAACACGGACGCGTTCGGATGCTGATGGACGAACTCGCTGCTCCTGAGGAGTCTGAGCTTTAACAATGACACAGCTACATTTCATTTTCTGCTGAGCAATCCCTGCATGTCAGAGATCAACAGCGGCCTCATGAATAATTCACACACAAACAAAAATGGAGCAACACACACACACACAGTAAGGGAAAAACAAGACATCTGCGTGTTCATTGGCTGCTTCTTATTCAGCAGAGGCAGGCGATTGGTCAGACAAGGGGGTGACTGAGAGGACAGCAGTGACAGCCGTGTGACACTGAATTGTGCATTTACCCAGAATGCAATGCAAACAGTGTTTACAGGTCCCTCAGCCTTGTAGTGCGGTCTAAACAAAGTGTTTATCTCCATGGTGCGGTGCCTGCAGCTACAGTGGGCTGCCTCATTGGAAATGAACTCACAGCATCCTTGAACTGAACTGACAAGTTTTACATTCACTCACACACACACACACACACACACACACACACACACACACACACGCGCGCACTTAGACAGCCGGCGCCTTTTCTCCCTCATTGGGACTGAGCAAGGAGTTGTGTTTTGCTCCTCTAAAGGGAAGAACGTCGCCCTCAGGTTCTGTTGGGAGGGCTGAGATGATTTAGGAGGATAAATGTAACTGTCAGTATTCACGCTCTCTGTCCTTCACAATCCATGAAGGGAGAAATACTGAGAGGAGAGCAGCCCAGTCCTGCTCGATTCAGCCTTTAAAAACAGCTTACAGTGCAAACTTGGAGGACTTGAATCATTCATTTTCACAAAGACACTTCAATACAACTTTGTTGTTCATTGTGCTGCTTAGAAGAAGATGAAGCAAGTCTATGTTCAGTTCTTTGCTCCTTCCAGCAGAGAGAAACCAAAAACACAATGGACAGATGAGACTTTTAACAGTACATGATCACTTTTCACAAAGGTAATAAGTCTGTACATAGTGCAGCATCTCTAAGGAGAGCAGATGAACGGCTGATTGTTGAATGGTTGTTATGAGGCTGCACTCCATTCTGGGACTCCACACCTGAGGTGTGTGTGGGAGTCTAGTGTTTGGTAGAGAGGTGGCGACAGGTTGGGAGTGTAGCGAGGATACTCTCGGAGAGGAGAGCAAAGCTGCCTGCTGGGAATGTTCTGGGAGCTCTGAGACCGAGCTCCTGAGCCTTGGCTCTGGTAGGGATCGTGGGTGATGGGCTCCCCCAGAGGCGGGGAGCTTTTTTGGGCTAAAGAGCTGAGCCGAGAGCCCTGAGGGCTGGAGCTGTAGGGGGGGTGAGGTGTGTAAGGTGGGTAGGGTTCCATGGGAGTCATGGCAGCGGGGAGCGGGCAGGGGTAAGACCAGGATGCACAACTGAACTCATCCATTCTGGTCTCTGAGCTGGCAAACATGCAGGCCTGTCGCTGTCCCATGTCTGAGCTGTAGGGGGAGTCGGTGAGACCCAGGGCAGACAGATTGGGTAAACCTGGAGGAGGTGGAGGAGGAGGGTAGGAGGAAGGGTGGTAGTAGGAGTCCTCCTCGCTTGGCGAGCCACCAGAGAAGGTATTCTTATAGGGATGCTGGTGGTTCCTTGAAGAGCTATTTGGTTCTGCTGCAGACAGACAGAAACAAAACATTAGAAGAATCTGAATGAAGTTTTTTTCTGGGATGCACAAAAAAATGGTCAAATAAAGCAAAAAACATGTAGTTTAACTTTAACAACTAGAATGAGAAAAAAAATGACAGAAATGGTGAAAAATGGTTTTCAAGGTCATGTAGGGAAAAATGGGTGTATCGCTTGTGTGTGCGTGCATGCGTGCGTGTGTGCGCGTGCGTGTGTGTGCGTGTGTGTACACAGACCTTTCCTCTTGCTGCAGTGGTAGACCTGTGGCTGCAGGTGTGGATGAGGGTGGCTGAAGTGGGTCGGTGGAGCGCTCAGCAGCTCCCGAGGACTGCCACCATTTATGCCATTCTCACAGCTGTAGGGGGACCCAACAGCCTCGGGGGAGACCCGCAGTCCCCGAGTCTCCCCCCTGAAGGGACTCCCAGCAGAGCAAGCTTTTTGGCGGATTGTACTGCGAGGTACGACAGGGTAATCCTTACTGAAACACACACATGTGGGGGCAATTTTAGGATTACAGCAATAACTTTCCTAAACCTACATGTGTTTTTACTTCTATTAATAGTTTTGTGGATTTTAATTCTTGTTGTTGTTGTTTTCCTCACTCTCTCACCTCATCTGCTCTGATTTCTTTTTTGCTGCATTCCCTGCCCTTTTGGTGAACTTTGTGGTATGTAGGAGACAGTGGGCCACATCTTACTGACTCTTCAGTGAAACACACACACACGTACACACACAGCCAGTGCTGTTGTGAGATAATTCACCCCTCTAAAAATAAACATCCATCCATGTGTCACTTCAGATAGATTCTCCTCTCCTCTACAACCTAAAAAACTGGGGGAGCTGCATTTTCTTCCTCCACTCTAGGTTTTCTCAGCTCTGAAACCACTTGAATGGAGATTAGTTCAGCACGCGAACAGACCTCATGTTGGGGTTTTAGCTGATCAGCAGTGACAGCCTAATAGAGCTGCAGATATCGTGTTTATCAGTGCAGAGCTGCTTCTGTTTGTTCAGATGGAGATCGACCTACAGCTGACAAACATCTCCCCTAACCTCTCGGCTCCATTCATCCTCACATCTTAGACCATATGTATGCCATCATAACAACCCTCTCCCAGCTGATGGAGGGAGAGAGAAACAAAAACTCACCCCTGAAGCTTGGCCATGCGATGCAGCTCATTGTCATCGCTGCCTCTGAAACCCTTTGCAAAAGGATTATTTTCTATCTTCAGCTGAGTGATCTGAAGACAAAAGCATAAAAAAACAGATCATGCATACTCAGACACACCAATACTCAAGGATGCATCAAGTTTTCAACAACTTTCCTCATCGATTAGACCAGAGAGCTGTCAGAGGCCCTGCAGATGTTAAAAGCACCCCACTTGGAGCTCTGCACATGCAGCCAGCATTCCCCAGCTGCTGATGCGTCTGACTGAGTGGGACAGCGTCTGCACCAGCTGACACAGAATAAACTGTTTACCCAAACAGTCACAGGATTTAAGGGGTCCAGGCACAAAGCTTTTACAGACCCAAAGCTTTGATGTTCGTCTTCAAAGTTTTCTCACTGATGTAATGGAGGAAAAATTTCATGGTTTGAAGGAATTCTTTTGACTGAAGACCAAGTTCAGCACACGGACAAGCGAGTCAGAATCCAAACAAACTCTAAAGTGATGAAAAAGCACGTAAGTCAAGCCTCAAATGCAAAATAAATGAAAAATTAAAATAAAATTTTAAAACAGATTATATTAAGTGTCATTTGGTGTTCATGCAAGATGGAAAAATGTCAGTTTTATTCTTATCTAGAAAAAAATAACTGTCTAAACATATTATCACTGATAAAAACTTAATAATAATAATATAGTAGTAATAGTAATAGTAATAGTAATAATAATAATAATAATAATAATAATAATAATAATAATAACAATTGTAATTTCACATTAAACCATGTTAAATAGAAAAATGCAGCAACTGTGTTATGGCTGAATTTTAGTTTACTGTATAAATTGTATTTATTTGTACTAAACAGAAAGTTTGTACTTTTTTCTAAAATAAAGGCTGCAAAAATAGATTTTTTTTGTTTTTATTACACGGATGTTTATTTATCTATTTATTGATTGTTGGAAGTTAATAAATAATACTTTGATAAATAAAAAGAGAAAGTTCTAAATTTATTTAACCAAAACTTTAGAATTAAAAGCTACTACAAAACTAATATTTATATATAGCATGTTTTTTTTTGAAAATTGAAACATAAAAGCTAAAGGTATCACTTGAAAAAATAGTCAAATGAGCGGGTCTAAGTTTCAGCAATCTGTCTTTAGATGTCTGGAAAACTGAGTCTGCCAAGATCAAGGGAAAGAAACAGGTCATTAGGCCAATACACACACACACACACACACACACACACACACACACACACACACACCATTTTTATAGGGACACATGAATAAATCAGACGTTGACTTTCTGGATGTAAAATACAACCTACAAAACGTGTGTGTGTGTGTGTGTGTGTGTGTGTGTGTGTGTGTGTGTGTGTGTGTGTGTGTGTGTGTGACTTTATAGTTAATTTTTAAACATGTTAGTTATGACACAACCTTAGAATAAATAAAAACACTCATCTGTTGACTTCAGTAGACCTTAAGTGTGTAAACATCACTAAAACACTATAATTCTAGTGAGTGTGCTGCTTTTCTCTGATCAACGGCCTGGTGAAGTTTACCTTGTGGTTTTGATACGATGTCACAGCAATGAAGGCTGTCTCTGGGAACACATGAGTGCAGAAAGCTGTGTTTTTGGAGCCAAAGCCGTTGTTTTCATCCGCTTTGACGATGTGAAGTCGAGGCTGGTATTTGTGCATGGAGTTGAGTATTATCTGCAAGGGGACAGACTGAGACAGTAATGCAGGCTCGTCATGGTAACAGATTTGGACTATTTGCACCCATAAGGTCAAATTGCTTTGGTTTTCACATTTTTGTGTTGCTCAAATTGATAGAAGTTTAACAGAAATGCAGATTTTGGGACTGATTTAGTCGTATTAATATGTTTACAAGCCTACAGAAAGTTTCTGAGACCTAGAATGCAGGTCAGACTTTAGGAAGAACTCTGGAGCAAATCTCCTATCAGTTCTTATTAAACAAAATTACTGAATATGGTTTTGGACCAACCTGAAGTGTCAAACTGCACCCTGACCTCAGAGCCTATAATCTGAACTATTTCCCACGACACCGACTCTATAGGTCTCTAATTAGATGAGCCTTTGTGTGTGCGCGCACCGGCGCGAGACCGTTTGTTTAGGGGGCTCAGTTCAATCGCAGTGACGTGTCTGCTGGTGACACGCATGAGCCAATGAACTTTAGATTCACTGAAATTATTAATAGAGATGGTAATTTCCGCTTCTTTTTAGGGCTTTTTTTGGTGATTTGCTCAGACTTTGGATGAGTTAAACTAAATTGTAGTTGGTTTAAAATGGTAAAATCAAGATTTTAGACTACAAAAAAGACCCACTCACGTGTCCAAAAGGGTCCAGGTGGTTGTTGGTGAGTTTGAGCTTCTGGAAGGAAACAAGCTGGCGGCTCCAGTGCGCTCCCGTGGCTGGAGAGTCCGGGTGGACGTAGAGCCTTCCAGGCATGGCGGGCTCTGCTTTGCCCGTTATCGACCTATATGAGGCCAAAGGATGCAGCAGAATGGAAACTGATCAGACAGCGACTCTCAGGGGGGTCGCGGTGGTCGTCCGCTCCACCGGACCCCCCGCAGCGCAGCAAGCTGAGGCTAGAAGGCCTTAATGCTGCTTTGGCAGACTCTAAAATGCCGTGGAGTTTAAAATCTGCTGCTATCATTAATGTTAATTTTTATTATGTTTGGTTTGAGAGACGTGTCATTAAAATAACAACAGAGATTTGGAGTTTAATGCTGTTGCGATCGGTGCGTCATGGCGCACGTTGAAGTAGATTAGTTCTTTCAAGAGTTTTAGTTTTGAGGGGTGAACAAAATTCTAAATTTATTTAGGCTATTTTAGCCTGCTGTCATAATGTCTTTAGAGTGTTACAATTGCACGCGAATAAATAAAAATATTCTCCATTATGTGTGGAGGGCATCCGTTTTGGTAGCCTGAGGATCAGGTCTCTGCTTTTTGCAGATGATGTGGTCCTGTTGGCGTCATCAGAACGTGATCTTCAGCTTTCGCTGGAGCGGTTCGCAGCCGAGTGTGACGCAGCTGGGATGAGAATCAGCTCCTCTACATCTGAGACCATGGTCTTGATTCGGAAAAGGGTAGAATGCCTTCTCCGGGTCAGGGATGAGGTCCTGCCCCAAGTGGAGGAGTTTAAGTATCTCGGGGTCTTGCTCACAAGTGAGGGAAAACTGGAGCGTGAGATCGACAGGCGGATAGGTTCTGCGTCTGCAGTGATGCAGGCGTTGTACCAAAGAGAGCTGAGTCAGAAGACGAAGCTCTCGATTTACCGGTCGATCTATGTTCCTACCCTATGAGCTTTGGGTAGTGACGTCACCGAAAGAACGAGATCGCGGATACAAGCTGCCGAAATGAGTTTTCTCCAAGGAGGGGCTGGGCTCTCCCTTAAGAGATAAGGTGAGAAGCTCGGTCTTCGGGAGGGGGTCGGAGTAGACCCGCTGATCCTCCACATCGAGAGGAGCCAGTTGAGATGGCTCGGGCATCTGGTCAGGAGGCCTCCTGGACGCCTCCCTGGTGAGGTTTTCTGGGCACATGCAACCGGGATGAGACCTAAAGGTAGACCCAGGACACGGTGGAGGGACTATGTCTCTCACCTGGCCAGGGAACGCCTTGGGATTCCCTCAGAGGAGCTGGCCCAAGTGGCTGGGGAGAGGGAAGTCTGGGCCTCTCGCCTTACTGCCCCCGCGACCCGACAAGAATGAAAGTGGATGGATGGATTCTCTATTATGGTCTTGGCTCACCACTTTATTTTTTATTTTCCCCAATAATCCTAAAAAGAGCATGTCTTGCGCCTCGGTGGATGGCCCAACTAAATCGGTGTTCCGTTTGGATTTTCTGTCCTCACGGGATGAATGAGAAAGAGAGAAAGAAAGAGAGAGACTTTAATCCGGTCCATGCCCGTCTGTCCGCTCCGTGAACCCGTCATACTCTGATGTAACCGGCAGGCAGACACGCGAGGGGAAACGAACTAGGCCATCCTCGGTCTGCAATAAGACCCGACCTTTACGCAGCGCAGAGGCAGGGTCGAGTGGAGGGTATCAACCCACACCATCATTTTGTCCAAAAGTACTTCGTTCTGCAGAATATATGAAACTAAGCAGGGGAGATTGTTTATCCAAATGGATTTTAGGCCTTTATTTTTATTTTTATTTACCATAATGCTACTGATTACTCTAAATCATTTATCATGAATATATTCATCTTGGGGCATAATTAATCTGTGACAAACCATTTATTGTCTGCAAACTTGTAGCGATGTTCATCTGCAGGCACGATGTCCATCAGCAGAATGTATTTGGTCTTCGGGTTCAGTCCTGAGACTTTGACTTTGTAGCTGGGAAACATTCTCCTGCAGGGAAAATAGACTTTAGAAACACAAGTTACTGAAAGTCTTCTGCGCCAAATGAGCCCGATCGCCCCGAGGTCTGCGGTGAATGTGTGCATTAAACTCGTCTTGAACGTTGGACGATTCATAAAAATGATTTTTTTTTATTAATTTTGTGCGGACGCAGAGCGCCGGAACGCTGCAGGCCTTCATAGGCTCGTGACAATTTTAGTTCTTACCTTCCAGCTTTAGTGATGATCATCTCAGTTCCCACCTCGTCAAACTTGGTCCAGAGTTCCCTGTCATGAAGGACAACTTTGATTGCCTCCATCCCCTAGCAGACAAAAATAAACACGTCAGATGATTAGTAACAAAACATTTGAAAAAATGACCCAATTTGAACAGCATTCAAAAAAGATGGAGTAAAATCGTTTTATGCACGTTCCTAAACTCGAGATATATATATTTAAATAAATTATCTCTACAACAACAACAACAACAATGATAATAATAATAATAATAATAATAATAATAATAATAATAATAATAATAATAATAATAATAATAATAATACATCAGCAGTTAACCCAGGTAAATAATAGATGTTTACATCCTGCTGGCTGGACTGTGGTGAAGCAGCTGCTTTTAGAGTGAAGCCGTGATTTTCTTCTTTAGTCTCTTTTGGAGGCTCCATGCAGTCCAAGTCTGGGTCCGGATGCTCTGCAAGGCAAAACTGATCCCCTCCGTTTGCCATGTCCCACTGGAGAACACACGCACACGTAAACGCACGCAAACACACGCAGAGGCATGACATGCATTTTCTGCAACATAATATTTGTATTTTTTAAAAATATTTTTCGACAATAAGATAATGTTGAGTTTTTCCAGGAGTTAACGTGACGTAAATTAATATTTTCTTTAAGCTTCAGAAAGAGAGAAAGTATTTTTGTTAGGAACAAGAGGCCGTGAACGCAACGAGAACCAGAGATTTGGATCAGACACAGATTCAGTGACTCAACCACTGATTCAATGTTGTTGTTTTTTAATTGAGAAGTCTCGTGCTTATTGCCAGATGTTTTTAGGTTATTTTTAACCTAAACACATCTGGTCTCACTGAAAGGGATCAGTTTGTAATCATTATAAAAAGAAAACTGCCCGATCAAAAATTATTATGTTTGTAGAACTTGACCTTTAAAGTTACAGACCTCAAAGCACTCCTCTTCCTGTGGAAAACGCGCTCATCCTTCTGTAAAAGGTGGGCGTCTGAATCGCTTTATAATTAAAAAAGCCAGACGCTCCTCAGTTTCTCCGTCGGTTCTCAAAGTCCCACAAAGCCCAACGTGATTTTCCCCCTTCTGTTGTTGCGCGCGCTGCTCCTTCCAGATTTGTTGCGAACATTCCGCGTCTTCCCGTCCGTAGTCTGTTTTTTTACAGATGTGGCGGCTGGGGTTTCCCCATCATTTGCTTTCCTCCCTCCATATGACCCATGCGAACCCAGCGGCAGGAGCAGCAGTCCTTATCTGAGACTTTCCTCCAAGACCCCTCATTACAAATGGAGTCATGTCCTCCTCACTCCTCCCGCCCTCCCCCTTCTGCTCTCCCCGCACGGTGATTCGTTATCCGCAGCCAAAATGTTGGCTGTGACGCAAGCAGACGGAAAAACAGCAAGGACAGATGATTATTAAATATAGCCATGGAGTCTCCACACACCAAATGTGAATCAGTTTCCCTCAAAAGTTAAATTGTTCATAAAGCTGAAAGGAATCAGTGAGTGACGCTCATGTATGAATTGAAAGTAATGAAACGCGTTTTTATTTATTTTTTATTTTATTTTATTTTATTAATTTCGCTGCAACATAGAGAGAATTAAGCCTGATTTCACAAACGCTGATAATTATGACGCTTTAGTGATCTATTAAATCACACAACATGATGTGCACGAGCGTTTACCAAATCTCCCCTCCACCCCTTTGCAGAGGTTCAAGGTATTTGTTTATAGATTACAGATTATAGATTAAGAGGACAGAAAGCGGCGGTGGCATCGGTTTGACGTGAGCGCGCATCGGTTTGACTGGATTACTGCAGATCCTGATAACCGGAGGCATGCAGAGTTGAAAGTTGAAACGGTCACGGAGGTCATGTCAGATCCCTCTCTCACACATCTCCACCGACGTAATGACGCCACGCACACTTTCGGTTAGCTTTTTTAATATAAATAATCAGATAATCGCTCTGATTAATATTTTAAAAACGCCTAGGCGCTTGTCTCGTGGTTTGTGCCAAATTGTAAATGAAAATGTTCACAAATCAAAGTGATTAATTGGTTTAGAGACTCGCCCAACCACCAACACGAATATTCATATTAAAACACATTTTATTGTGCAATTATTTAAAGCCTTGATGAAACTATCGCGCTAAAACGCACCTTTTACGTGCATTCCCTTGTCGTTTTTGCACCTGCCTTTGCTCACAGGGACTATACGGTCTCAAAGATGAGTCATAATTACGTTACTTACCGTGTTTAGATATGTAAATCCCTGCTGGCAGACCGCAAACACCACAGCTCGGTGCGCAGCAGCGAGAGAGAGCGGAGCGGTCAAATGAGCGCGCCGCCGCCGGGATATACTCGATCTGATGGATACCCTCTGTGCCCGAGAGCGTGCGTCAGAGAGCGCGTATGCCACCACGCGCGCGCGTTCTTGTACACGCAGATCGATCAAGTTTGTGTTTCTTGACTGAAACTAACTTAAGTTCAAAATGCAGTTTTAACCAGTAAAGAACAAGAACATTAAATAATTAGAGCTATTTTGAGTTATGCTCAAACAGCAGAATCACAGAGGAAGAAAATGATGTTTACGTTCGAAGACAAGCTTGCACCTTTAGGGCTTTTTTATAAATTAATTTAGCTGTTTTCTTTATAAAAGTTAATGTTTCCCGCTAGTTGACCCTTTCAGTTTTGGAAACAGTTACAATAACGACTTTAATTTTCTTTAGCCAGCGCAAAGTTTGTTCAGCATAATATAATTACAATCAACAAGAAAACTGAATATATATATATATATATATATATATATATATATATATATATATATATATATATATATATATATATTCAACTTTACTTAAGTTGTTCAGATAGGGTAAAAGAAATAAACATTTGTGTTAGCTTGCATTGTTTCATAGTTTTTAAATTCAACCCAGCCAAACGACATAATTAAAACTGCAATTAAAAAAACACGACGAGGCAGCTTTCTTTATACTTTCTGATGAGTTCTTATAATAAATAAATATTTACAAAACTTAAGAATTTATAATCTTCTAAGCAGCAATATACATGGTTTAAAGCATTTTATAGTAAATTACTAAACATTTATGAGATCATGAAAAAATGTAAAAGTTTCTCCTTTGAAATAATTTAGTTTTTTTCTCTTGTTTGTATTTGATCTGAATATTTTTTGTGCCTAAACTTTCTAAATATGAAAAATTTAGCTTTTCTTCTTTAAAAATATTTACATTCTGTTTTGTTATGTTTAACTCAGTTTGGTGTTTTCTCCCCATTTCGCTTTTCAAATCATCTATCAAGCCTGCATGGTTGTGTGCACGGCAAATTATGTTAAATCTTTCATTTGACTTTATTTCATTGTAAAATGCCATTCGTGTAATTTCAGTTATAACAATGTATTTTATTTTTCTAACTGATCATATTTCTTTGTGTTTAAACTCATTAAGTAAAAAGAATGAATCAGTCATACCTGGAATAAGGTGCCAGTGGTCTCTGGAAGGCTCATTATTGGCCCATCATGGCTTCAGCTGACTGTATCCTCTGTTCTCTGTCTGGAGGAAGTGGTGAAGGGGTCCCAGACCTCCTGCACTCAGCAGGTCTGTCTCACACACCTCCAGCTTGGCCGGAGCGAGTGTGTGTGCATGCGTGTGTGTGTGTGTGTGTGTGTGTGTGTGTGTGTGTGTGTGTGTGTGTGTGTGTGTGTGTGTGTGGCATTAGAGGGCAAGGTCAGCCCATTTCTCTGCAAACAATCACATCACACAGGGCAAAATACATTCCAACCCCCCCTACCTCCTCCTTAGTAAGGTGGCCTGATGTGGGAACAGGGGGGGGGGGGGGGGGGGGGGGCAGCAGTCCAGACTGAGTGCTGATGAAGGGAAAGCTGCTTCACATTAAAATCATTTTGGTTTGTGTGTTAGAAAGATGCTGCTCCGCACGCTGCAAGTCAGGTCAGCACTGAATCAGATCACTTAGATGTCAGATCAGAGATCATTTTTACACTTTTAGACTTTCAAGAACTCAAAACATAAACCCATCCCCTTCACTTTGGTCCAATTAAACACCTGCAGCTCCACAACTCTGTAACTTCCTTCCAGTCAGTCCATCACTACAGAGTAAAAAACACCATAGAAATGTTGCAAACCTTGAAAAGGTTGCTTAGATTTCATCAAAGCTCAAACAGAAGTGTGCAGTATTTTCTTAATGTTCTTTCTTCTGGAATAAAAAAACATTCAGTTAAATATGGTGGACCACGAGTGGTTAATTCAGCATGATGAAGATTTTCTTATTTAAAAATGTGACTGAAATGTTAGAAAATGTTTTATTTGCCTTTTAAATAAGTCATCTTGTTATAATCAACTGTTCCCAACTGTCTTTTTCAGATGTTCTTTTATCATCAGTTGGAACCATATATGGTGTCTCACACCTCCCTCTAGTGGCCTCCTTCTGCAAAGCAATCTAAAAGGTAAAAAGAAAGAAAGAAGTGAAAGAAACTAAATGAATAATCCATCTTCATGCTTTAATACAACTTTTCTGTCAGTTTATGACTAATAAAAAAATACTGGGAGCACCATTTGCCTTTTGTAACACTTCAAACCGGAGCGAGGAAGTCTGGGCTCATGCTCATCCATGTGGGAACATTAGCATTTAAGGTGAACGGTTCATTTCTGTGCCCTCAGAGCCACCCGTCACTCCCAGGCGTCACGCTGAAATGCTGCGTGACCTTTATCTTATCTTTGTGCACTCACAGACACGAACTGAAACCTTGAAGTCCTCCAGTGAGACACAGCGTTCCCTCTATCCCCATTGATATTTACATCTGTTTCTCAGTATATTAAAGCAGATAAACCAGAAGCTGACCATTTGAATCGACACTAAATCCAGCAGTCTTTTTTAACCTTACTTCTCTGCTTTCCGCCTAGAGGGGATGCTCAGAAAAGTGAAAACCAGTTTTGGCACAGCTGACATTTCACAAGCACTCTGGGCCTTCTATTCATGAAGAGTTAAAGCATTCAGCGGAGACGTTTTTCTGTCCTGCAGCTGGATTTAAAGGCTGAAGTGGACACAGTCTTTTACCTGATGGACACTGAACGTGTGAAAGACTTCACTTAACGCAGCCTGGGGTTTTGCTAGACCGGCACATGAATTCACGCTGGAGTTTGCATGTGTTTAGGGTGACAGGGTCAAAGGGCAAATCTGTTGGTCGTTCTTTTGCCCTTTAGGGACGAAACACATAAAGGTCTTAATGCCTTTTGCTCCATCAGAGAAATCCACTTTATAAAACACAAGAAACTTTGGTCTGATGTGCTCACTGACTCAAATGTCAGAGAGTGAAATGTGTGATGAAAAAAAACCCATCAAAATTCAGAATTTATAAGAAAAGGGCCAAATAAAACAATTATAAAGACATAATTTAATGGATAAGTGGACAAAAACGACACTTGGGCAGACAAGTACACTCAGCTTCATAGAACTGAGCAGGACTAAACAAGATACCACGTGAACGGAAACTACTGGTGGAACAACACTGTGTGTGTGTGTGTGTGTGTGTGTGTGTGTGTGTGTGTGTGTGTGTGTGTGTGTGTGTGTGTGTGTAAGCTGTAGTTGTCTGCTCTAACAGAAAAAACACACAAAAACAAATGAAAAAAGTGCAGAATTATAGTTCATTCACCAAAGAAAGTAGTGGCAAAATAATACATAACGCTGCAGTGAGACCACCACATTTACAAAGATGGCGACATGTTTTACATCAAGTACCGCGTCTTTGTGCCGAGCTGAAACCTTCCTATGAACTCACAGTTTGCTGAAGCGAGTAGCAGCTCCAGATCAGAACATGGAGATGCCTGTTACATGAAGTTTATGCGAGGTTTGTCAAAATAATGTGTTTTTCAGAAAAGAGGGAATGAATAAACACCGAGTGAGGTGACAGAAACTCTAAAATGTGAATTAAATTACAGATGAAATGAAGAATCTACGGATACAAGTTGCTGAGAAGAAGTCTTTGAGCTTTAAGCGGAGGGTGGTTCTTTCCAGGTGGACACAGATAAGTGCAAAAAGATGAACACATGTGCCATCAGTTTCAATTCTACAACTTATAATTTTCAAGTTTTCAAAGGAAGTTGCTCTAAAACATACAGAAGAATCTTTTCACAGACCTGCAACCTACAAACACTGCCTTCCTCAAGCATCCTTCATCTGCACTGGCTGCTGCAACACCAGCAGAGGGCGCCAACATCTCACCAAAGCTTTGAAGCAGGTGGACATACACTGTCTCTTCTTCATCAGTACCAGTCACATTCATCATCATCATCATCATAAACGGGTACCAGTACTCGAGTCCATTCAGGAGTCTGCAGGGACGGTGCTGAACTAAACATCCGATGTGCGAATGCCGTCCTCATCCAGGCTGTAGGGGAAGCTGCAACCGCTGGGAGGCTGAGGCGTGGAGCGGTGCCTCCTCCGCCCAGTGGCAGCATCTGCTGATGCCGTGAGGATCCCCAGCCCACTGGTCGAAGGTATTTGAGACGTGCCGGGGCAAGGGGTCGGGGTGGAAAGGGAGTTTGATGAGGAGGAGGTGGAGGAGGAGGAGGTGGAGGAGGAGGACAGGGAGGGGAGAGTGGGCAGAGAGCTAAATGCGCTGTCTTCATTCTCCATGTCCTGGATGGAGGGCTCACACTGGGGGACGGGGGTCCAGGGTTGCCAGCCCGGAGCCATGGAGCAGGACTTCATCAGCGGGGGCCTGTGTTCATCGCTCTTTTGACGAGATGCACAGGAGGCGTTGTGACTCTGATAGAGAGAAGGGACGCGTTTAAATGGGCCGCCCTGCAATTAGAGAGATAAAGCCATTATTAGTAAATTTCCTATAATTATAAATGACTGCAAAAAGTGATTTGTTCAGTTCTGGTGTGATGCTCTAAAGAGAAAGGCAGAAGACTGATTCACCCTCAAGGGGCCTCTGAATTCCTGGATCTTCCCCTCAATGTCTCTGATCCAACCACGCATGTCCTCTGGAGAGTCTGTCTGCAGAGAAAACCAAATTCAGAAAGAAAATTAACTTTAATACCAGAAAACTGAAGAACACTAATGGTGCTGGTCATAAAATTAGAATATCACAGAACTGTTGATTTATTTCAGTAATTCCATTCAAAAAGTGCAACGTGTATATTAGATTACTCCACTCAAATGTTTATTTTAATTTTGATGATTATAACTGATGACTAATGAAAATCCTAATTTCAGGAACTCAGAATATTAGAATATCAGTTCTAATGCAAAGAAGGGGCAAGACCCAAAAGGTCATTGCTAATCTATCATACAAGTTTTAGCTTTTGAATGGAGCTACTGAAATAAATCAACTTTGTCGTGATTTTCTCATTTAATGACCAGCACTTGTAGACTCGAAGAGTCTAATCAGCATGTTTTTTCTTAAGATTTTCGCCCAAAGATAAATAAAAATGTACAAAAGTATGTTTGAGATTTTTGTCAAAACTTGAGAATGCAGTTTGGTAAATTTAAGGCAATTGTGTGTTGTGCTTTGTCATATTTTATAACATACTTTTGTTGGTGTTGCTGTTTGAAGGTTACAGGTGGAATAACCTAATTAAAAGAAAACCCTAATAAAAAATCTCATTTTTGTCGCCGATGACATTTGAAACTAACCAAAACATGCATTTTGTTTTAGAATATTCACAATTCCCTTTACAATAAACTTTTTATATGAATAAAAGTTTTAATGTTTCATGACCTGAATGCAAAAAAAATATTAAACTGAGACTGAAGCTGAGAAGAAAAACCTCAGCTATTAAATTAAAGAAATACTTAAACTGCTTTTTTATAAACTTCTGATCCAACAAAAAAAATCTTTCACTCAGTAGGTGTTAAAGTATACAGAAATAAACAAAAAAATCTGAAATTTCTTTTCAAAACTTGAAAAGTAGCTGAATGAAGTTATTGTGAAAGTATTTAACTCCTTCTAGTGAATAAATCTTCAGTTCAATCTCACGTGAAATCAAAATCCCTATCTGGGATTCAGAATAATCACTTCACAAGCATTTTCATCAAAATAAGTTAATTTAGGTCAAATGTGTCATTGATCCGTGAATTTATTGAAATAATTTTCAGCATTTTTAAGATTAATTTGCATTGTGTTAAAATATGTTTTCTTCTCTTTTTGTACCAAGTAGCAGAATAAATCTGAAATATGGTTAACAAAATACATAAAAACCCGTTCTATTATAAAAAGAAGTGATTCAAATGATAATTTAAGTGTTAATAATTAACCTTTTCACACTATTAATTTTAAATATGAGAACAAATTAGCTTTTACTTTAAGATAGTTTTTTACAATAACTTCTATATTTTTGTTTTATTTGTGTTTTTCACTCTTTACAGCTAAATAATCAAGTGTTTGTGCTCACAACCTGTCTCTTTCTCTCCCAGCACTTCCCATCGGAGCCGAGCGACCCTCACGTCTCAGCAGTGTTGGGAACGTTACTTTTAAAAAGTAATTAGTTATAGTTACTGATTACTTTGTCAAAAAAGTAACTTAGTTACTAACTGAGTTACGAGATTATAAAAGTAACTAATTACCAAGAAAAATAACTACTTAGTTACTGTTTTCATTAAAGAATGCAAGAAAAAATGGGTTCCCCCTCTTAATTAAACTTACTCAAATTACTATAAATTACTACAATAGTGAAATATAAATGACTAATGACTGGAAAGTAATAAAATGTGTGTCCAAATGTTTTTTTAGAAACCTGAATAATTTAAATAAATAAGCACATAACAGGAGGAACTACTAACAGGAACATTACACTAAAAGGTCACTGTGTGATATTTAACAAGACCCCAATCAGCTAAAATTTATACCGTAAATCCTCTAATACAGGCCCGGGCCTGTATTTGACTGAAGCTCATCAAGCTCCAGGCCTTTATTGGAAGGAGGGCCAGTATTGGAGGCAGGCCTCTATTTCTATTTGAGCAAAATGAAGTAATGGTTCGCTGGAGTTTTTGACAATTAAAGTTGCGCCCACATTTTCAAAGTTAAACACATTTCTTTTAACAATGGTAGTTTCTGCTTCAGCCCTCTCCCCCCTCCCCCTGCGCAGCAGCCGCAAACTCACTGATGTGCCTGCAGCCTCTCGGAGTTCCTGCTGCTCTAAACATTAAAATAATTATTTCATTTTCTGTTCCTCACTTCTGATAACCTTCAATGGTGTCTGTTTGTTGCAACCACCAGGTACAAAAACTAACTTGTTTTTATTTGACTATTTTTCTGTCCTGCCTGTTTATTATCTTCCTGCATCTCCTCTCAATCCTAAAGAAAAACTGCTACCTGGGTTCATATATATTCACCTTATAAGTTACCTTTGAACTGCAGTTCTAAAAGATCTACCGACCGCAAAAACAGCGGAGTGCTCGCTGCTTGGTGGCCGCGTGATCGGTGCGTCACCGGATGACAAGGTGATGCGCCCTGCTCCACAGCCAAACGCATCAGGCGCAAATAAAAGACAGAAAACATCAAAGGAAATGAACCGACATGAACGATCGCGTGTTAAATGTGGTGACACCTTATTGTTACTGTGGCCGTGCTCAGGAGGCAGATCTACCGACCGCAAAAACAGCGGAGTGCTCCGAGCTTGAAGGGCGCATCAGTGATCGGTGCGTCACTGGAGGACAAGCTGATGTGCCCTGCTCCACAGCATGCAGCGAAACACATCAGGCGCAAATAAAAGACAGAAATCTTTAAAGGAAATGAACCGACATGAACGATCGTGTGTTAAATGTGGCGACACCTGATTGTTACTGTGGCCGTGCTCAGGAGGCAGATCTACCGCAAAAACAGCGGAGTGCTCCGTGCTTGGCGGGCGCACCGGAGGACAAGCTGATGTGCCCCGCTCCACAGCATGCAGCGAAACACATCAGGCGCAAATAAAAGACAGAAATCTTTAAAGGAAATGAACCCACATGAACGATCGCGTGTCAGTACCGACGCTCTGGCACAGCCTCCGCATGGTTAAAGTTACCCTCGCGGTCTATCACTGGCAAATCAAAAGTGAGACGATGACACAACCGCCCCCCGTACTTGCTTGTTACCACATTCCACCCGGCCACAATAAGAGACCGGCCTTTATTCACCTCCGCCGACTCCGACACCGGCCTAAATTGGAGACCCGGCCTTTAATTGAATACCGGCCTGTATTAGAGGATTTACGGTAATTGGAAATAGAAACACCTGTAAAGGTTCCAGAGCCTTTAAATGGTCTCTCGGTCTAGTTAAATCACAGAAATAAATGCAATTTTGCACAGCATTTTAATTTTTCCAGCTTCACATAATTGTGTGTTTTAGTAGCATTTCTGTTGCTGCTAATCTAGTAATGGTTAAATAAATAAATAAAAATCATTTAAAATGACACTAGAAGAGGCACAAGCCTGATGGAGGACTTACATTTACTAACTTGGGTCAGACCCAAACACAGAAGAGCTGAAGCTGGGTGGTAAACACACACAGGTAGTTCTAATAACACCTGAGCTCCATGACGTCTGAGACTGATGCATCAGTGTTACAGCGGGACTAAAGACATAATCAGAAACAGGTCACAGCTGGATGATCTAGGAAGGCAGAAGATCGGGACTTCTGAGCGGTGAACAGGTGAGCGGACCTTCGGGACGTCCCGCTGTCACGCTAAGAAGGACACGGCTGCAGATCCACACCTGCAGCCATAGAGTATTCATCACGTCTTCCTCATTCTTGATGCGCGTGGATGAAAACATCTGCCTCTTTAGCTCCTGATCAGGTGATGACAGCTTCAACACACCGCGCCGCTTAACGCACGCATATTCTTTTGATAAAAGAAGACGGTAATTATTTAGTTTGCTCGTTACTGAAAAAATAAATTTTTTTTATTAACGTGGTTATTTTAAACTGCGTTATTCCCATCACTGCTCTGTTGGGTCTGCAGCACGCAGCGACTGAGACATTGAGAACACTGAGGGTCTCCACCCACCCGGCCAATCATCATCGTGTTTGTAAGCGCGTTACCGACACCTCTCTCTCCCTGGCTGCAGCTGAAGTGTGGCGGTCAGAAAGCCTCACACTGTTGCTCAACGTTCGACAAGCACATAGTAACGCACAACCTTCCATCCCCAGTAACGGTAACGGCGTTGTAACAGTGGGAAAAGTAATTAATTAGATTATTCCGTTACCCAAAAAAGTACGCTGTTAGTAGCGCCGTTATAGTTAAATGCCGTTACTCCCAACACTGCGTCTCAGTCAGCTGTCCTCCCAAGGGGAGGAACAGGATGCTGTTGTTGTTATGGTAACAGATGGCTGAATCTCTGTCACCAAAACAAAATGTTCAGGGCCACTAAAAACAGAGCCTGGGGTCACACATCAGCAGCAGAGCATTTAGAGGAAAACAAGCTCAAAACATCAACACAAATCCACCTGGGAGTGCCTAATCGGTTTTAATCGGTTAATATTACAGAGGAGTTCAAAACAAAAGATTCAGCAAAGTGAGGGAGTTTTACCTGGATGTAGAAGGTTCTGGAGTTGGTGATGATCTCAAATAGGTTATCTCTAAGCAGGAGGTCCCTGACGACACACAAATGTAAAAAGATGTTATCCTCATTAATGAATGAAAGAAAACACATTTAGATTGATGTTTCAGTTCTTACACATTTAGTTTTATAGAAAATAACATCATGTTACACTGAACGGCTCAAATTAACAAATGTTTTGTGACTGAGGCTCAAATTTGAATAATAAATAGCAAATCTTGAGAAATTTCCCAATTCTAAATGTTGGCTTGTAAAAAATCCAAATTGCACCTAATTTCTTTAAGTAAGTTTGGATGAAGCTTTAATTATGAAGCAAGACGTTAAATCAGTATTTGTTGCCATTTTAAAATGAATCTGATCTTCGACTCGTGACTCAGGCTTGAATCATGACTTTAAACTAACATCTGTGCAACACGTGTCGAGCTTCATCCTGCACTGAAGAGCAAACTTGATGAGAGCTTAAATGGACTGGATCTGCTACGACAGAATTTTTTCTACGTGGATGATCTTCTAGTCTTTCCTCCATCTTGGTTTTCCTCAAACAAGGGGGAGACCATTCTGACTCGCATGACTCACCCTGACTTGACGAGACATTCGTGGACCTTCTGAATGTCTCGTAGTGAAATAGCTCGTAGAGGCTCCTTGTCCTGAGACACAGGCAGACAAAGGCCGCTGTCAACAGAGAGCATCGAGCAGAGACGGTAAAAACAAGAAAGGTCTTCCTTCTCACCGTCTCAGACTTATAGTAGCTGACTGCGTTGTCATTCAGGGTGAAAAACCGCCTCTTCCAGCTCTTCCTCTACAAGCACACACCGTGTTGAACTTTCCACTCAGCTGGGGTTTTTATTCAGGCAGATTTATTCTGTCACAAAGCTCAGCTCTCACCACATTTCCTTGTTTAACACAGTAACCACATCTCAACACGCCGGGTCTGTTTCCCTTCCTCTCCTTTACTTCAGCCTCTTCGCTTTCGTTCTGAAACACACCGTTGCCATGGTTACTGTATCCACCATCATTAAATACTAGGTTTTAATCTCATATGTGTTTCTCCAATCATCATTTTAGATGCCAGGTGAGCTTTAGCTTCCTCTGCTGTACCTGGATGGGGGTGTGCACCACCACGCCGCCGATGATCTCCGTCTTGTAAGCCTGCTGTCTCTGCCCACCCCGAGATTCACTGATCACAGCAGTCACATCAGGTCTGGGGGGCGCTGAGGTGCAGGGCTTAGGAACCTGCAAAAATGTGGGACAATGACACGGATGTCAGCATTTAATAAGGAAACTAACATCAATTAAGCTAAGGTTTAAAGTTTATAGTTAAAAAAGTCTAAATATTGTTTAAAATAAATTCCAATCTGAATTATTGCTTAGATACTATCTAGGATGTGTCATTTTAAGTCATTAAGCAAACTTACGTCCTAGAAATAAAAAGAGATGGGAACAGATGTTTTGTATTTTATGCATCTAATGGATGTAAGCAAATAAAAAGCTAGTTATCAGGTTTTCTGGGTCATAATACAAGACATAGATATCCAATTCTGGGACTTTGTAAAATAATAATTATAAATAAATAAATAAATTACATGTACTATACCACATTCTTGAGTTTTTTAATAGTGGTCTTCTAAAGAGGATTTCTTGGTTTCTGATCATCTCTGAAGTTGGACTTGAATTTAACTCGGATGTTGATGTCATGCTAAATTATAATTTTTTTTCAAGGCTTCTTGCAAGGTTTACAAGAAAAATGTGTTAAATGAACCAAAATTGAATCACATGTTAAAAAACAATTTCAGAAACTAAAATTAAGCCGATTAAAAGCTGATTTTTTTTCTGCTCAGGGCTTTTTACGCAGATGCCATCAGAAATGATGCCAGCTTTGTGGCTATAAGTTTTTAATAAACTATTTTTTTTATTGCTGCATTAGTAATTTCACTCTCAGCTGATAAATTCCTCTTTAAAGAAGACAAAAATAATCAGGACACTTAAGGCACTAAATTTACACCCCGTCCACTTCATTTCACACAGTTTTTCATTGAGACCAAAGAAGTTTAGAAAAAATAGCAGCAAAGTCACATAAGCCCCCCCCCCCACCCACCCACACACACACACACACACAAACACACACCGCCCAACCCTCTCGCTCTGACAGGGACGTGAAAGAGAGAGAGCAGCGCTGCTTCCTGTGTCGGTGAGCAGGTGATGGGGAGGAACACTCCTCTGTGTCGCCCGCTGCACCGGTGCATGAGGCATCTGGACGTCAGCGTCAATACACCTCAGCTGGATACGCAAATACCATGCAAATGTGCAACTAAATTTTGTCACCTTCACCACAGTGACGTTTGTGTGAGTGCGTGCTATCTCTCGATTTCTTGCACATTCACAATTTCCCCATTCACCAACTCACCAACTGTGACAGGCGGTATCTGTAGGGTAATGTGCCGTTTTCTGCACAGACCGGTCCTCGGCACTCAGCTGGACACTAATTCCTCCATCAATAACTACCTTTATCCCCACAACCAGAGGAGATTTGGTTATCCCAGCATGCATTTGTGTGCTGCACTCACAGTGATTTTGCTGGCTTTGTTGAGAGCAGCAATCCAGTCCTTCATGTCAGTCGCATCATTGGCCTGAAGGAAGTACCGCCGTGAAACGGCGTTTATGACTGCAGGAACAAGGACAATTTTAGATTATTTTATGCATGTTACATCGCATAAGCCTGTGTCATCATCAAAGCTCACCGAAGCAGAACTCAGTCTTGGGTTTTTGCTTTGCTGTAGCTTCATTCACCTGGAGAGAGAAAAATAGAGAAGAAAAACAGATCTTTGATGTCAGTGAAGCCAGATATTATCATCTTTGAGTGAACCGACATCTGGAAAACTTCACAGTCTGCTTCTGCAGAATGGTTGGTCAGGGAAAGTGTTACACGTGACTTTTAACCATAACTGCAGATAAATCCATATGAGATCATCTGCAACCTCCTGAGTGAATTGCCATGTTATTTCTCACCATCAGGTCACAGGTTAACACAAACAGCATGCAGTGGAAAGAAAAGTGGGCAATGATCAAATGCACCCTTTACCTTTGAGATGTAGGTTAATTTCAGGCTGCCCACAAAGCTGGCTCCACTGGGCAGGTTCTGCTAACAAACACAAACACACACAGTCGTCATTAGCTCAGAGTCCAAGGTTCTCCAAGGCTCCTATTGATCGTTTTCATTTCCTCTCTCTGTTTGTGCAAGAGTGTTTATGCATGCTGTGTTGGTGTTAGTGGAGCACCTGAGGATTGTCCATGTACCACAGCAGAACATTTCCCTGTGTGTCCAGGATGAAGTATCGCCTCTGGAAACGGCAGCTTTTCTCCTTCTCCTCGATGTCCAGGAAGCCACATACACGGTTCAGCCGGTCCACGTACGGCATGCTGCCACTATCACATATCACTGAGACAGACAGATAGATAGACAAACAGTAGCCTGATGTGAGATGGAGCTAAAGTTAAGAAAGGTTAAGAGAGCAACAGATGAATAGACCAGAAAGGCAGAGATCTGCAGATTTGTTGGGGAAATCTCTCATTTAGTCAAACGCACATATGCACACACACACACACACATGCACACACACACACACACATGAAGAAAGAGACCCACTTGCACTCAGCAGTTTTTCATGTGACGTGATTGAGGCTGAGCTGCAAACCCTGAAAACCCGAGGCTGAGCTGAGGCCCTCCACCACAGCCGAAAATTACACGCTGCACTCGAGATCTGCACACATGCACATTTCCACTGGACAGAGGAGAGGAAAGAGCAGGATGGAAGGAGGAGAAGGACGACAGGGAGATAAGTGGAGGGGTGTATTATTATAATAAAGCAGAGAAGACTCGTCCAGCCCAGAAACTGAGCCATCAGGGTCTATTTGCTGTTGCAGTTACATTCGTGGGTTTCATCTGCCAGTGAGTTCATTCGTGAGGCTGGGTGGGTTTAGTTGCCGGGTTACTAAAAAAACGTGTCTTTTTGCAGACTAAATGACAAATTTCGGCTTTTGGAAACACCAGAGCTAAAAACAGAATCACCACACACAGATGCAATGTTTTCTTCCCTTTCCTATTTTGATCATTAATAAACCTTGAAAATAAATGGAACTATACCTAATAAATGACTAACTAGGTCACATCTGTGACTAATTCGTTTACTTTTAAAGCCAAGAACACAAAATAAGGCTCTAACCATCTTTTCTGCCTCTTTAATTTCATTTTTTTCCCCTAAAAACCTTCCAAAGTAGAAGGAAACAAACTCTCCACACCAAAAAAAAAAAAAAAATCCCAAAACTGCTAAGTAATGACCCAAAAGAGCAGAAAGAAAAACAAAGAAATGATTCTTCACCGTGCTGTTGGAAATCCTTTGGGGTTATTTTAAAACTGATGGGTAAGAAAAACGCTTAATTTTGAAACCCGGTTCCGCTTCAGAGGCGTCAGACGAGCAAGTTTGTCTTTGAAATAGGTTAAAGGTACAGAAACCTTTAGCGGGGGTTGATGGAAAAATGAAGATGGAGATGCACGCACACACACACACACACACACACACTATTCTGAGCATCAGACAACATCTGGTTTGACCATTGAAGGGAGAAGTGGTGGTTTATTTTAACCAAAGATGGTGACACTTAACCAATAAATATAATGTATTAGCCTGAGAAACTGAGTGGCCTGGTTTTTACGTGTGGGTGAATGACAAACATACAGCATATCATGCTAACAGAGTTTATGCGCCCATGAGCCAAACACATCAGTGATCTCACTCGTCTGCACATCTGCTGTAAAAGTGGACGAGCTCACCCTGCAGATAACAGAAACATAATAAAAATGCTAAAAAGCAGATTGAGAATAACATCTGATGTCAAAAGGAGTTTCTCTTTCATCTCACAGTGACTTTACACACACACACACACACACACACACACACACACACACACACACACACACACACACACACACACACAACACACACACACACACACGCACAAATAAAATCATCATTTCCCTTTATCTTGAGTATATATTAATGTGTTAACTCTTGTGTGAATCAATCTCCAAATAATGTAAACTCCACATTTTCCTGGAAGCATATCAGCTGTGCTGCATCTCATGTTTTCAAATACTTTTCCTTTCCTCTCACACTGGCTTTTAACATCATACAAATCTCTCTTTTCAGCATGAGTTCTGTTTCCTATTGAATTAACTTGGTGAACTTGGTGAACACCTGTTGAGCAGAACCATTTATGATGCCAACCAGCTGTTCTCACCAGATTCCCAGAGGGATCCTGCAGCCTGAACACAACTGAACATATATGTAGGGGTTTGGACAGTTTCCGCAGCTAGACTAGATCATATGAATTCATGCATTCCTTGGATCGATGGATGGATGAATACCACTGAGAGCACGTGGACGCTCATGTGTGACCCGACTGAGCAGAAAATGAAATAGACGAAATTACTCAAAAACACCTGACGGACACATTTGTTCAGATCAGATGACCTGCAGTGACTCACTAACACAATGCCACACCTACTGTACCTCACACACACAGACACACACACTCAAACACACGCACGCACGCGCGCACGCACACATAAATCCACTAGAGCCCCTGTGTGCCCCTGTCTACTTACCGCTGTAGAGTCAGTGTGCGCCACAGCCAGCGCCCCGATCCGACGCGCAGCGAGCAGAAACGCGTCCGACTCCAACGATCATAGCAGGAGGAAAAAAAAAAACTTTTTAACAACTTTTCCAAACGGGAGGGATCCAGATCACCGGCGTGCGCCACACTCTCACACTATCGTCTATTTGTTTGTGCGATCAGATTACAGAAGACCAGACTTTTTTCCGGGTTGAACGTTTGGGTATTAGAATAAACCAACCCCGGATGTGATCTATGCGTCCCCTGAGCTCCTTCTCCTCCTCCTCCTCCTCCTCCTCCTGTCTGCTGCAGCTGCTCCCGACCTTATTGAGGAACAGAAAGCTGAGTTCAACCAGCTTTTTGCACACATTTTAACCTCCGTTTTCTGCTGCAACAGGCTGACTTGAATCCCCAGAGATCTTTTCACTGAGACTTTTCATCAGAAATAATAAAGATGCCCTACTTAATTTTAATCTGCACCTATACCTGATGTTGTCTACTCAGGTGACAGTTTGGGAACTGGGTCAAACCTCTGCTGAATCAGGTGATTCACTCATGATCTGTGAGAAAGAAGAAGTGCACACCTGGATAAACAGGATGATATTTAATACGCTGCTAAACAACGAGCCAAAAGCCAACAGTAGGCTACTAAAAGAGGGAGTTTAACTAACAGTAAAGTAGAATTGAACTTTATAGAGAAGTTTGATGCTGCTACAGGTCAGAATACATGACCTACACTCATAAATATGTGACATTATCAGTGAGATTGCTGCAATACGAGGGTTTATTTTAAAGTTTTCATCTTTTTGTGCAAATAAAAAAGGTTTATACTAATGGAGAGATCTGGAAATATGTGCACTAAGTGTGTTTCAAGTTTATTAATTTGATTTTATTCTTTATGATGAGGAGGCCTCACATCTTTGTGGAAACATTCAGAAATAATTTCCACGTATTACGTTTCTGGCTTTGCACTCATTTGTGTTTGTGGTCCTTTTGACTCTTTCTGGTGTTTTTATTAGCAATAATTATCCAACTGGTTTCCTGATGGTTGCACGTCATATGGCCTTCCTGAGGGCAGAGGCCTTACCTTACTGGTTCCTGCTGCAGAAACTGGACAGAGTTAACGTCACTTGATTTGCTTAGCATGCTCTAGACTTTGTGTTTGGTTCCTTTAAACTTCAATTGATTGACTTTTTCTGGCTCACCTATGGCAACTTATCCCATTTTTAAATGTTTGTCTCCTTGTTAGTGTTAATTATGAAGAAAGGTTTGTGAGGGGCTTGAACCAGAGGCCTCTTGATCCTTTTGGAATCATGATCTTGTTGACTGCCTTGTTCAGTAATGTGTATTTAGCTGAGTTATTTGTTGTTTTTAGCCTGAACAATGTTATTTTCTTTATGAACTATTGTCATTTTTATTGCTTCACCCAGAAAGTTGTGTCGTTTTGATGCATTGAGTAACTCGTGAATTTAGTTTTTATGTTCCATCCACCTTTTTTCTGTACCTGCTTTCCATGCAGGGTTGCAGGGGCTGGTGCCTACTCCAGGTAGGGTACACCCTGGACAGGTTGCTGTCAATCGCAGGGCAACACACACACACACCTAGGGACAGTTAACACAGACTAATCAATCTGATACTTTTGAACAGTGAAAAAAAGCTGGAGTACTCCATGCATGCTTAGGGGGAACATACATACTCCATCTAGAAAGACCTGATTTGAACCCAGGATCTTCTTGTTGCATGGCAACAGCACCGTGCTACTGTGCAGCCTGCAGAAAACTTGATGTTTGAATTAAAAGAGATTATCTTTAAAACTAAGGTGCAAAGTATTTCCTGCAAAGTACTTAGTCTTTAGAATGCAACTCGGGCTGCAAGATTTCCTCGATTTTTTTTTACTTTCATACAAAGGTAACCACAATTTAGGTCTAGTGATGCAACTCCTGAGAAGCAGAAAAAAGTGCAGAGAACAAACTGGCCAAACCTCTTTGTTTCAACACTCTGCTCTTTGCCTAATCAAGATGTCTGGTTCAAAGTTTCACACGTGCAAACGTCTTTTGATTCGAGCCTCTAATCTTTCTGATGTAAACTGCAGTTTTGTGTTTTCTTGACTGTCTTTTAGTTAAATTAGCGTCTTCCTTTTCAGTGGTTCCACGTCATAGGACCTTCCTGGGGAAGAAGAACTACCTTGCTGATTTCATATCCTGCAGTGAAGAGAATTCAGAAGTAAAGTTGCAGCAAGAGGAAGTCTTGAAGTTTCCACAGACCCATGTGTTCCTGTTGAGATTAGCAGACCGAATGCATTCGGCACAAAGGCATCAAAACTTTGCATTTAAACACACGTTATAAATAAGGGAGTGACTGTTCATTTTATTCAAATAAGCCTGCAAGCATAAAACAGTTAGATGGTACTGACACAGAAGAATGACGTGGTTCCATGGCGTGTAGTAAGCTTTGCACTGTAGCACCTACCAAAACCACACCCGGCATCTCGGGCTACACCCTAACTGTGAGTTCTTCACTTTTCACACTTGAATTCACCGCATATATTACAAGGTTCACGTGTTGAGTCATCTATTTATGCTGCTATTAAAACACTGCTTACATATGCAGTGATTACAAAAGACAAGCTGCTGAGGTGCAGCTTCACTTGTGGGACAGACCACGCTCCTTTCATGCACCGCAGACACAAGAATCATGACATGCTTCCTATTTTCAGCCCCTTTTCAAACAATCCAGAAACGCTCTGCAACTCAAATCTCCTCTTATTCTTGGATGGAGGCAGCACCATAGGGGAGGGAAGTGGGGGAGTTTAGAGCTGACTGTAGAGCACACGCAGCAGCAGGGCTGTGATCAGCATGACTGGGCTGGTGGCCAAAGCCCCTGCGCCATTGCGGTGGTGATCCCCGTGGCTGTGACTCCGGTGTGGCCCGTTGCAGTCATCACCAAAGCAACACTCCATCTTTGCTCCAGAGCTGCTGCTGCGAGCCTTGTCGCAGAAGGCATTGTACGTGCACGACTTCATCACAGTGTCTGGAAGATAGAGAGAGACGCCGACTCTGTGAATCAGATTAGCTGCTTCACTCATCAGCTGTGCAAACGTCTGTGATTTTCATTAACTGTTGAGCAAACATGGAGAAGAGTCAGTGGCTGGTTTCATGGTCACGTGCTAGTTTAGTAGTTTGTGATTGGTCAAACATTTAAAAATGTTTCGCTGTTCTTAATAAAGAGTAAAGAAAGAAACAGAAAAAAAACCTTCATGCATTATGACTGTGCTGGCTCCTAGTGAGGCTTTCTGTGCTGCATGTCCTTGTGTGTGTGTGTGTGTTCACTCACTCGGTCCTGTGATGGTGGAGCAGGCATCAGCGTACTGAGGACAGGAGGTTGATCCCTGTCTGTTACAGTCGTCCTCACTGGACGCCACACATGTGTGACATTTAAGAGCATGGCCTTCGCAGACAGAACAGGAGACAGCACCTGGCTTTAAACTAAGCATGAATACTCAGACAGGTGCAACCACACGCACGCACGCACACACACACACACACACACACACACACACACACACACACACACACACACACACACACACACACACACACACACACACACACACACACACACACACACACACACACACACACACACACACACACACACACACACACACACACACACACACACACACACACACACACACACACACACACACACTCTCTCTCTACTGCACAGAGGCAGCTATAGCTTCAACAGAGTATTCAGACATCTTTAGTTTCTTTATTTTTGTTTCCAAGCAGCCAGACTGGAGTTTTTTTTAACTGCTTTTGATTGATCGCTCTTCCTGAAGGCCTTAAAGAGCTTTTCTACACACACAGAAAATGAAATTGTTCAGATTTCTTTTTGTTGAACCACATAACAGAAAACTCAGCACAGATTTATTTTAAAGCTAATTTAGGGTTTTCGTTTCAAGCAGCCTGACAAAATGTTGAATCTTCTACCAAATAAATCAGTTTAACACACTTTTTTTAATCCATTGTGATTTCCATAGCACAATCAGGGAAAAACATAATACAGCGAGGCTCAACTAAAGAATTATCTAACTCTCATGTCCCGTTTTGGGACTCAGATTGGATTTTCTTGGTTTGAATATTGCTCATAAGCCTGATGCTGCTTCTTTTGTCCTCATTTGTCCACTTTGATAAATGGTCTGTATCGGTATAGCACCTTCTTGGGGTTCTACAACCCCCCCCCCCCCCCCCCATTCATCCATTCACACGCTGGTGGGGATGAGAGACGATGCAGACACAGCTGCCCTGGAGCGCAGACAGAGGCGAGACTGCCGGGCACAGGTACCACTGGTCCCTCTGACCATCACTGGCAGGAAAGGCAGGTTAAATGCCTTGCCCGAGAACACAACAGCAGCATTCTCTGGTGGGAGCCGGGATTGAACCTGCAACCTTACGATTACTGGACAATCTGATCAACCTCCTAAGCTACCGCTGCCCCAGGACGCTCAAACATTCAACAGTTGTAATCTTTAATTAAAATTCTGAAATAAGGTCTTTTTTTCTCTCAGATGCTGTGAGTTTCTTCCCATCGGGTGTTTCATAAACTCACTGTGGAAGGCCAGAGGGATGAACACGAGCAGAGCCAAAGCAGTCTTCATGGCAGCCGGCTGACGTCTAGAGTCCTGAGAGAGAATGGATGCGAGTGATGGATGGGACGCCAGGGGGCTGAGGTGGAGGTGGGGGTGTAACCACAGGAAGGTGTCTGAGGGCATTAAAGTCTTATCCCTGTAATCTCCATCTATGCTGCACAGCCAGCACCCTGCAGTAAGAGACTTAACCGAGCGTTTTAACAGGGCGACAGCGTTAAGAGCCCCGGTTTATGCGTCTGTTATTAATGCAAACAGAAACAATAGAAGCAAAAATAATAGAACAAACTCTTTAGGTTTATTAGAGAATGTTAACGCTACTTTCACAAAAGGGTGAGATTGTCGTTTTGTTGCACACAAAAATAAAAATAAATACAGCGGCTGAGTAACAAAAGGTAACGGGACATCCGGTTGGTACAAACACTCTGTGGCACATTAGCAGTTTTAACTAGAGGATTTTATCATTATAAACATGGTAACAAAGGTGATTTACTCAACAGAACTAAAAAAGCTAACTTTTCTTAAATGGGGAAAATATTTCTTTTGTAGAAAAATGCAAATCAGATCCAACATTTGTGTGTTATTTAGGCAGAAGCTATAATCTCATTTCAGACAGTGAATCGTGACAGACCCGAATCTAAACACAGCTTGTGTATTAGTGTCACAAATATCTACCTCTAAAACATGCAAAGCTGTGAAAATTAATGTGCAAACATGTATTTGTTTATTTGTGAGCAGCAGCCTCTCACAAAGCTACTTCTCTCAGGTCCGTCGGTGACAGGAAGATTATTTAAGAGAACGACTCATTGCAGCTGTTTTAAACAGTGTAATAAATGGTCAGAATGTCCAATCAAGATATAAAGTTACTCTGGTTTATTCTTTTATTCAGCTGTTCGAGGTGATTTCGTGGAGTTGACTAAACACACAACATGAAAGCTTTATGATCATCAGATTTAATCATCAGGATTATCTAAAGTGTTGAAGTGCTAACTAAGGCAGATGCAGTAAACTAGTTGTTGCTGGACTTCAGCAGCAACGCTGGACAGAAATGAGGCCTCTGAGGGCCGCTGTGCAACCCGTCCTCGAACAATTCCTTCCTCTTTATGCAGTTTTATTAAACCGGACTCTTTGGGAATAAAATTAAGGTGAATTTTGTACAAAAATACATCGGAAAAGAACCTTCAAACCCCACTGAAACACTAGTCTGTTTGTAACTTTGAATCAAACCCCAAACTTAATCTGATGTCATCCTGCAGGCGGAGCTGCAGCCGAGTCACAGGATGAACACAGGACCTCCAGCTGGGCTCGTCAAAGGGGAGCAAAATGCAAAAATGCTAAGTCATCACATGTATTTAACATGTACAGGTTCAGGTCACATGTAGTGCAAACGTTGAATACAGGAGTTACTGCAGACGTGGGAAAAGCATGGGACACAGAACCAGAGCTGCTTTTGTCTGGAGGCATGCACGGAACGCCGCTGACTAACTCTTAGTCTACTTTTCCCATTTTGGCGATCAGTTCATCACAGATCTTGGTGAGTTCCTCGATCTCTTGATTCTGAAACACCAGAGGGAGATAATTACATCCCATCTATAAAACCGAACACGTTTCATCCTGATGAAGACGAGTTACCTTCTGCTGCAAGGCTTGTTCCATGGATTCATTCTTCATCTGCTCCTTCCTCAGGCTGGCGGTCAGCGCTGTGTTCTCTGAGCTCGCCTTGACGCGCACCTGAGCGATCTCCTCATTGGCCCTTAGGAGACACCCATGATATTAGAATGAATACATTTCTCTAAAACAGAAAATGCTTTTGTTCAGTCGGATCTCACTTCTCTAGTTTCTCCTCAGCGTGCACTTTTAGCGTCCGGTATCTCTGCTCCTCCTGCTTGACCCTGGCCAGATACTCCTGAGCACATTTCTTCAGAACTTCTTCATTCTGCACGAACAGATCCAGCATTCAGTTTATCGTCTGTTTACAGAGAGAAAACAGCTGAGCCTTCCTGTATTTTTCTAATATTGATTTTTTTTTTTGTTTTAATGTCTCTAAAGACCTGCAGGTTTCCAGATCCACATCTAGAACCCCCCGTAGCCATCTGTTTTTCACACACATCTGCTCCCGGCTCACAGAGACCAAGAGTTGGTTATTTTGTTGAAGGTCGAAGCTGTTTGGGGCCAATTTGTCTACTTAAACAACGACTAATCACAGAATGCCTATCAGCCCAACAGCTGACCACCCTCGCTTTCTGTTTTAAACAAAAAAAAAACTAAAGTTCACATCCTTACCTTTTTAAACCCCTCAAGCGTTCCCTTCATGCTTTCATAGCGCCGAAACATGTCGGATAGCGAACGCTCCACAGAGTTCAGGTCCGTCATGGCCGCCTCCTTCTCCGCCGTTGCTAGGTTCAAGGCCTTCTGGAAGTTCAGGGTGTTGCGCTGCTCGTCCTCTGATTGGTGAAGAGTGTGAGAGGTTTCTTTAGTTTAGAATGAGTCTTGTGAAAGTGACATAATTGCAAAAGCTGATTTTCAAGAAAGTAAACAAACTTGTTTTTAGACGTTTCATTTTTTTTTTTTGTCTAAAAAGAAAAGCCTGTTCTTAATCTCCTAAAACTAGCAAATAAATCAAGTTAATTTGCTAGCATTAAGAATTCTAAGCATCTTTTGCGTGCACCAGTGTAAGAGTTATGTTTACTAAAAACAAGAAAATTCAATCATATTTAAGAGAATATATCTTATGTCCAGGTCAGGGACGAGGTCCTGCCCCAAGTGGAGGAGAATCTCGGGGTCTTGTTCACGAGTGAGGGAGAGATGGATTGGTGCTGCGTCTGCAGTGATGCAGGCTTTGTATCGGTCTGTTGTGGTGTAGAGAGAGCTGAACCAGAAGGCGAAATTCTCAATTTACCGGTCGATCTACCTTCCTACCCTCACCGATGGCCACAAGCTTTAGTGTAGTGACCGAAAGATCGAGGTCGCAAATACAAGCGGCCAAAATGAGTTTTCTCCGCAGGGTGGCTGGGCTCTTCCTTAAAGATAGGGTGAGAAGCTCAGTCATCCGGGAGGGGCTCGGAGTAGATCCGCTGCTCCTCCACATCTAGGTCTGATTAGGATGCCTCTTGGATGCTTCCCTGGTGAGGTTTTCTGGGCACGACCCACCAGGAGGAGGCCTTAAGGGAGACCAGGACACGTTGGAGAGACTAATGGGCCATTCCCATCTGTACCGGGTCGGCCCGGGCCGGGTAGCGTAGGTTGTTTACATATCTGGGTGGCCTGGTATTTTTCCGGGCCAACCAAGGCTCATTCTCAGCCCTCTTCTCGAGGGGGTCTGCTTCAGGCCGACCAGGGCCAACACACCCACTGCTGACAGCAAATTCACATCTTCCATTAGAGCAAGCCTCTGATTGGTGGGTAGAATCAGCCCACATGGGCTTAAGACAAGGATGTGTGGAATCAACCGGGCCAGGCTGGGGCCGACTGGGGCTTCCCGTCCCGGTACAGATGGGAATGGCCCATATGTCTCACAGCTGGCCAGGGAACACCTTGGGATTCCCCCGGAGGAGCAGGCCCAAGTGGCTGGGAAGAGGGAAGTCTGGGCTTCTCGACTTAGGCTACTGCCCCCGCGACCCGACTCTGGATAAGCGGAAGAAAATGGATGGACGGATGGATATCTTATGTGAATTATTGCTGTTAAATGTCTCAAAATAAGAGTTTTTTTTTACTTCACTGAATATAAGTTTTTGCAGTGTACCCATCATACACTGTGTATGAGACAACACAACTGCAGCACTGACTCGTATCTGGATCTGATCATCTACTCACCGATCATCTGAGCAATGGTTTTCTCATATTCTGCAACAATTTTTCTGTAATTAGAAATAAAATTTAAGCATTTTTAGATTAACTTTTACCATTGACAGCAATACTACTTCCAGCACCAAACTGTTGATAATCTAATAAAGACTATTGAGGGTTTTGGTAAAAATAAATAAACAAATAAATAAATACATCATGTTTTCACTTCGTCACCACCCCACATGACCACCCTCATCACCTCTCCTCCCTGGCCAAGTGAAAGCTTGCAGCAGCTCGTTATCTAACCTCATCTCATCGACTTCTTGTTTGCACTGCTGAAACTTTCTCTTCCAGTCGCTGACTTCGACCTCCTTAGTGATGACCTGGAAGGAGACGTTGTGTGTGAGAGCAGAACCGCGAGCGTGAATCAAAGCGTCAGGCCCAAACAAACACTCGTACCTCCTCTCTGATCAGGCTGAGGACGGCCCGTTTTTCGGCCTCACTGATGCAGATGGAATCCAGGACCTGACTTCCCGTTTTCTGCGTCTCACTTCCCCCTGACGGGCTCTTCAGCTTGCACATGTCTTCATACTGAGAGCAGAAGAAAACCAGTCAGAGCCTCTTTCACCTTTTCTTGAGTACCAAGAAGTCACACAGGGCTCAACCGCTAAACCACTAAAAAATGAGGAACTTGGAACAAAAATACATCCTTATTTTAAAATAATGCAATAAGACCAAATAATCACCTCTTATTCACTTTTCCAAATGAGTTTTTATTTCAACAAAATATTCTGTTGTTACTTCATCTTCTCTTTCTTTTAACATTCTGATAAATCCATCCTTCTCCTCCTCCACTTGTCATTCCCCTCTTCATTTCGTCCTTCCCTGGATTACGAGCGTCATATTCTAATCTTGTGATAATCTTAATCCACCTGTCACCTGAGAAATGGGTGGTAGACACTAAGTACCTTGTGCTTCCTTATAGCTCAAAGCCATCATCACATCAGCATCTTACTACATTAGAAAATATCGATCTAAAGCCAAAACCAAGAAGTCGGTTACATCTTAGTTATAATATTTCACTTTTGTGCATTTGTTTTGGTCCCACTTGGGCTCCAGTGATAAAACAGTGCACCCCCTGGTGGTTAGTAATAACCCAAAACATCTCATTTTTACACTTTGGTGATGAACAAACCAGTAAATGTAAAACACAGCTAAATGTGACTTTTAGTCTCACCACAGAGCAGCCGTCCGATTCCTCAGGTTTGGATGTCAAATGGCACTCTTGGACTGAAAAAACAACAATATAGCACTTTTATCATGAAGAATTATGGGTAATTAGTCCATCCACACCTTATCTTAACGTTTCATCCTCATTAGGATAACCAGGGAGGTGATGTTTATCTCCATCGTCATCAGGTGGGAGGCGGGGGACACCTTGGACAGCCCAGTCCCTCACTGGTTGTAATTAGATGTTTATCATAGTAAATAAATTAATACCACTGTCCAGCAGGTGGCAGTAAATAACAAGGAAATTATAAATAAGGACCTAAAACAATTTTTAAATGATAAATGACCCGCACTTGTATAGCGCCTCTCAGAGTAAGGACTCCAAAGCGCTTTACACTACATTCATCCATTCACACACTCATTCACACACTGATGGTGATGAGCTACGATGTAGCCACAACTGCCCTGGGGAGCACTGACAGAGGCGAGGCTGCCGAGCACAGGCACCACCGGTCCCTCCGACCAAGTGTCTTGCCCAAGGACACAACAGAAGAATTCTCTGTTCGGAGCCGGGATTGAACCTGCAACCTTCCGATTACTGGACAACCCGCTTAACCGGTTGAGCTACTGCTTGCCCCAAACATCAAAGTAAGATGATGTAAAACCTGTCCTTACAGCTCATTAGTAATTACACCTCGTGTCTTGAAGATGGCAGGACAGAAAAGTCTGTGAAAAATCTGTCATGAAACCAGATCAAAAGTATTCTGATTACATTCCGTCTCACCAAACCACACAACGGACTTACACATGAGAGGGCTCACCAACCAGAACTGAAGAAGACTTTAGGAACAGAGGTGAAACGTCCTCCAGAATCATCACCTGAGGTAAACTAACTGTATGGTGTCCCTAGTGCTGAATTGTTGCTACATTAGTGGTGTTTAAGCAAACTAAAGAAAATCTGCTATCATAACACACACACACACACACACACGCATGCACGCACACACACACACGCACACACACACACACACACACACACACACACACACACACACACACACACACACACACACACACACACACACACACACACACACCCTTTTCATGGAATCATTTTGAAACAGAAGTACGACTCAAACACCTGCTGGATTGATGTTGAATGCATTTTTCTGCACCTCTGCAGACACAAACTGCTTCTTGGTGTTTCACATATTCTGTTAATGATTAATGTTGTGCGTGGGTTTATAACAGTAGACAGAAACGACCTTGTTGCTGTCCGGTATTGATTAACTGTGGCTAGTGTTTGCCCACAGGAGAGCTAGTACACGCTGATTAAACCCTAGCAGTTTTAGCATCTCCGCACAGCGAAGCCTTTTTACTGAGTTATAACTCAGCTATAAATGTTGCTTAAACATGACCAAACCTTTTCAGCATCTAACTCACCATTTTGGCTGTTTTCTGATTTGACCCCAACGCTGTTTGCCAGTTTCTCCTCGTCTGTAGCGTGGCCTTCATGATGGTCGTCCTGCATTGACAGCAGCCTTTGTCACAAAGCTGAGCTAAAGCTTTCCCACGACTCAGACCTGGCAGAAATGTTACAGAGCTTACCTGTTTGCTTGAGTCCATCTGCATCTGCTGGTTCGGCTCCACTTTACAGGAGTTTCTGCAGATGAAGGTCAGAAACAAAAACATCAACACAAACGAGACCACAGCTCTGTCTGTGTGGACATGGAAAGTGAGAAAACACCTGAAGCTTTTTTTCTCTTTGCCGACTTCAGCTGTGCTCGTGTTAAATTAAGCAGAACAAAGCAGATTAATGAAAGCGTTTTTCAAATTTGCAGAGCTTTAGGAGGGATTAAACAGTTTCCACTAACTATCCTCCACGTCACAATTATACCCCTCGTGCATTTCCTCGTGTTGGCTGAAAGCGTTTAATATATAAAGCTGTGATTACACTGTACTTACAACAGAACACAGAGGAAATGGACTTGCTCAGCAGTCCTGATGCCACACAGAAAGAAGGGAAACAGAATGACATGTTGAGGAAAGAAAAGGAAGGAAAAGACAAAGGAGGTGACGGGGTTAGGGTAAACACAAGGTAAGAGCAGGGTTCATGTAGCTCAAGAAACAAAGACTAAAATCATTTAAATCAGTCTACAGAAGATATAAATGGGTTTGTTATTTTAGGTTTAGGGGGAATGAGAGACTAGATAACCATTCTTTAAAGGCTGAAGCTCCTTCCTGTCGGTGCTCGTCTGGTTATTTTGTGTTTTTCCTGCACAAAAGCACCTGGTTTTGTGACTTAGTTGTTACATCAGAAATATATAATGCTAATAAAAAAAGTCTGAAGAAATAAATGATTTTAAAAAACCTGAGTCACTGGAGAGAATTTAAAGTGCCACAAGAGGGCGCTGTTGTCAGACGTTATTCTGCAGGCGGGTAGGACCCAGTAGTCAGCGAAACTCAATAACTTCAACCACGTATGAAAAACAAACTTAACATGTATATGATGAGTAAATGGACCAAATCAGACAAAACGTTAGTAAAAATGAAAGGGAAAAATAATAATTAGCAAGTTATTTTCTAGTTAGGTTTATTGTTTTTTTCACAACTAAAAGAGAGAAATGTTTGTAGTGACAGCCTGTGTGTGTGTGTGTGTGTGTGTGTGTGTGTGTGTGTGTGTGTGTGTGTGTGTGTGTGTGTGTGTGTGTGTGTGTGTGTGTGTGTGTGTGTGTGTGCATAATTTCTTACTCACGTGATGACCGAGTTGCCATTTGACAGCAAACAGTCTGACTTTGTGTTGCCGTTCAGTAAATCTGAATCCATGCAAATGTCCTGACTGCTGGTCAGGTTTGAGTCTGGGCTAGAGTCAGAGGTCATCGGGGCCTCGTCATCCACCTCGGTGGGGTCAGGTCTGTTCAGCGGTGAGAGGACAGGTAGCGATGGCGGTCGGATGGCCTGAGTCTGAGGCTGGGGCTGGGGGACGGAGGGGGAGAGGCCCTCTTCAGATCCAGCTTTAAGGGTCAAGTTGATGTTTTGATCCAGACTGAAGCCGCTCCCATTGGGCGAGGAGCCTGTGAGGTTGTTCAAAGAGTCGCGGCCTTCTGATGGAGCGGTGGTGACATCGAGGTAGAAGGTGTCCTGAATGTGGTTTTGATTATCAGCTGGAACAATGAGAAGGAGAAAGAACATCAGTTACTTTATACAACATAAATACAACTGAAAGAAATCTACAGTATTGTCTTACTAAATGACTGGGTAACTTCTGAAACAAGTTATTCAGAAGAACTAAGTGGTGGAGTTCGATTAAAGGCAGAAAAAGGGCGCCATACTATGAAAAGCTTTAATAAAAGAAATTACAATAGATGTTTAAATTTCCGTATTTAATAGAAAACCAAGGAGGAACGCTAACAGAAGCAACACTGTCTTCTTTTCATGGTGCCCGACAGGAGTCTGGCTGCAGAGGTCTGCACCAGCTGCAGGCGAGGAGTCCTCTTCAGAGACAAACACAAATAAAACGATTTACCATAATTGAGTTTCAAACAACAGTTTAAAACATCTAGATCACAATTTTCCTGAAATGTTCCTTCCTACATTTGAGCTCCTAAAATAGCCGTTAGCTTCCTCCTAGAACAATTCACTTCCTGTGCCGTCAAACATCCTGGTAACAGCTAGTTGATGAGTCACACTGCTGCCCATCACACAATCTAAACACACAATAACCCACATTACAGACTAGGTCGATGATTTCTGCTATACGTGTTCTCATATGATCGTTGAATGTTTATTTGAGCTGTAGCAGAAAGCCCTGGTGCTGTAACACAACCACCACACCCTTTGGAGACGTGGAACAGATGTGGAGAAACCACACCCAGTCATGCACAGTGCACTCCACCACATGGCCTAGCAACACAAACATCACAAGGCTTCATTACCGTTTCACAACTCGGTGAAAATGAGGAAAAGGTGACTGACGGGGGAAGTTCGAAAGAGAAACACGTCCAAGCAGACACACAGCAGTCTCAGGTTTCAGTCATGTCACTGTTCGCACACGCGTGCACGCACACACGCACACACACACACACACACACGCACACACACAGAGTTGTTCTCATAAACTCACACAACTATTTGAGTCTTCTAATTATAGGGGAGCACGAGTATCAGTTTCCTCCACACAGTTGATCTTTTATTCATGAAACAAACCCAGATTTTGAGCTCAGCGTCTGAATAATTCAGTAAGAAAAGAAAACTGTTACCGTCTGAAACCTAAACCCAATTTAACATAATTTCATTTACCAAAAACAGATAAAATGTCTGACATCAGAAGGCTAAATAACAACAAATACAACAGCATTCTATCTAAGCCACATTCTTTTGTTAATCGCTGATGTGGTTGTAAAATCTGTTTACATCTGATTTGTTTCACACAGAAAAAGCAGTGTGGATTACTTATCTCCATGGCAACGTGTGGCTCTTGTCTTTGCGTCGGTGAGTAGGCTGACACATGCCTGAGTGTTCGTGCCGTTGAAATGTTTTTTCTAGAAATGGCTGTGATGTAACAGTAGAAACTGAAACTGTGTGAAAAAAGTACTACAAAGTCCCCTGTCAGCTTTTAAAGCGTGCTTATCAGTGATGATTTCAGACACTGATGCGTGTTAAGCTGGGATTTATCTGAACGGATAGAAGCTCACGTTCTTCGGGTTCGGCGGTAAAACAGATGAAAGGTTGAAGCTTCTGTCATATATAACCACAGAATAAAGTGTGTATTTCACATGAGCTGGATTTGACACATTAAACATGTATCAGGTCAACTAACCCCAATAAAATGTGTAGAAAACAAACTAGTACATTTATTTAATTAAAAAGGTCAACTTTAGTAATATTTTTAATTCATTTGCAGTGGTCTAAAGTACGAATGAATGCCTTCTAAGTCATTTTCTGGGGGGGTGAAACTTGCCTGTTTGAGGGTGAAGAAGCTGCTGGAGTAGAAAGTGGCAGTAGATTATAGGATATAGTCTTATTTGCTGATATTTGGATATCTCGCCTCTGATTGGCTAACAGCAACATAACTACCACTGACTCTGTTTGCTTTGCAACATTGATGTTTTATCTGCACAAATAACACAAGCCTGGAGGAGTTCTGCTGTGTGGTGAATTTGCTAATGCTAACAGTTAGCTTCTGCTAGTCGGGACGTTCTTTGCCGTTTCCTGAATGCTAAACCAACAACAGACTTCCCTATCACGAGTCATGATGAGTGAGTTCATGAATGTTAAGAAACAGTTTTTATTTCTCATTTTAAACATATCTTAAATTATTTTTTTAAATCTATTTTATACTTAAATTTTATTTTTTTGTGAAGTGCCTTGTGATTTTTATTTTGAGAGTTGCTATATAAAAGATTGTTTTCTTTCTTTCTTTCTTTCTTTTCAGTGTGATGTAGATCTGTCAGGATTTTCAAATCTTACCAGAAGCTAATGCAAGAGGTAGGTGTAGGAGACTATTTACATGTTCAGCCAGCATGAAAAACTCAGAGTGACCGATATTATCCAGAAATAATCATTAAAAATGTTTTTCTTTCAGTGAAGGTGACCTTTATATTAGGGATGTGTATTGGTGAAATTCTGGAGATACGATACGTATTGCGATACAAGGGAGACGATACGATATATCACGATATATTGCTACATTCAGCCAGACATTAGTGATTATTTTAGACTGAAATGATTGTAGGAAAATTCAATAAACAGTCCAAACTTATGCATAACAAGTTTAGCATGAGGTATCTGAACCATAATAGAGGGATTTGCATTTCAGTGATGGAAACAAAACCCACTGCACACTGCTGCCAACTAGTGGTATGTGTTTGAATTGAACAAAAGAAAAGAAAATACAAAAATGTTTGCATGTAAATTATTCCAAAATTTCAACACAGCCTTTGAATATCAATATAATATCGCAGGAAAAAGATCGTGATATTTTGCCATAGATATTTTCTTACATTCCTACTTTATAGTTAAGATTTGCACCTGAGTTTTGTACTTTAGTTTCCATTTTAACTTGATGCTGTCCCACTAACTGCCTTTACATAAAAGATGAACCTTTAATGCACAACAAAAATTATCCACCGATAAATCACAATCTAACTACTTACATGCATTTTAACTAATTATGAACCTAATAATGAAGAAATTATAAATTCTTTATGAGGGTAGTTTTAAGATAAAGTGGATCCAACGTATGAACCAACACTATTAAATTGTGATCGCACTTGAAACCCACAAAACTGACCTACAGCAACGGCTGGTCCTAACAAACCCCCAACAAACATCTTAAAACCTGGTTGGACTATTTTATGATCACAAAGTAAACAGACCGTGATAACATCTGTTATCAGCTGACTGGATCTGGTATGCAGGATCTCACCTGTGTTGTTAGAGTCGTCCAACTGTCCCAGCCGCTCCACAACACCTGGAGACTCTGCCTCTGGAGTCTCAAAGGTCCCCTCAGAGTCTGAACTGTAGAGTCAAAAGAGGAAAAATCACATTTTAGCAATTAATAACACACTTTATTTATTACTTATCTGGAATGATCATTAATTTCAAGGTGAGACACGTTAACAGAAACCATTTTCAAAGGGAAAAGCAATGTTCGGAAAAATAAATATTTCAGGCTGATAATTAAGAAACATAAAAAGAGTCTCAATGACCCATTCTAACAGCAGATGAGAGGCATGAAAAAAGGTCAGTGTGGCTCAAAATAAACAAGCTGCTTTTCTTTTAAGGGAAGTGGGAGGAAGAGAAAGGAGAGGAAGCAAAGTCCTGTGAGGCCACCTGCATCCTTTGCTCCTTCTTGGCCTGTGTGTGAGCTGCCTAGACACCCAGCCAAAATGCATTCCAAAACAAAACAGAAAGTAGACAACAGAAATCAACAGGTGTGTGTGTGTGTGTGTGCATGCGTGCGTGTGTGTGTGTGCGTGCGAGTGTGCCACACTAAAGCACATCAAAACATCCGCTCCTTAATGAAAAACAGCACAAGAAACACATTCACAGTGCCGGCTCACCATCTCTGAAAAAAAGTGACCACCAACACAGACTGATCCCAACATAAAAGAACCACAACACACACACACACCCTTCCCAGTTACAGAATCACATCCCATTGATGGCCCCAACTGCTTGGTCGGTTACTTAGGAACTAGAATTTAAAAGGAAAAAATGTTTAAGCCTTGCAAAGTGTGGCCTTTTATCCCCAGCTTTTAGCAGTTATTTTCCAGTTGCTCCACAACACACACGCACACACACGTCACACACACACACACACACACACACACACACACACACACACACACACACACACACACACACACACACACACACACACACACACACACACACACACACACACACACACACACACACACACACACACACACACACACACACACAACTAAACAGATACATCCTCTTCTTTTACCAGAGTGAAGACAGAATGGTGAAACTATTACAGAATCCTGACATGAATCTTCTTTAGACAATAAGAGCAGGAGCCAATCACAACGCTGGAACCACAGCATCAGTATATCAGTGTGTGTGTGTGTGTATTGACCACCTGTCAGTTTGATTCACTGAGTAGCTCAACAATCAATCTTCAGCTTTATATCAGAAACAAAGATCTCTTGTTTCAGGCTTTACACGCACGCGTGCACACACACACACACACACACACACACACACACACACACACACACACACCTCTGTACCCAAGCGCTCTTACATCTCTTCTTGGACAGCCTTTCCTCCTGGTTGTCCATCCTCTCCCGTCGCTCCCGTCACTGCCGACCACGTCCATTTCGCCCACTGAACCGGAGACAACCAGTACATTTGTGTAGAACGTCTGATGCCACCTCTATGATAAGAACCGTGAACTTCCTTCTTCTCTGACCACCTCTTGTTGCTGTCAAACAGTCAACTCAGTAATTTTCCAGTCTAAAACTGTTTCCACAGCAAGTTTAAAGGATCGTTGACGTGTTTCCTGTTCGATTTTCAATACGGCATCTCACTTCCTCTTCTTCTACAGCTGCTTAGATTTACCCATCCTGCTCGGCTGCGTTTTACGCTCGTGCAACAGAAACGTGTCTCTCTGTGCTGCAGCTGCTTTGCTCTCCCCGACACTGACTCACACACTGCAGATTACTGAAGCATCAGTAGTCGGTCCTCCCTCCCCCTCGGCTCCCCTCCTCCTCCCGTCCCTCTGTCTGGGAGGACGATCAGCTGGTTAACACACATCACATCGCTCTGCTCCCACGTGCTTTTGCTAAGTTGCCAACTCTTCCTCCGAGGGTTTGATAATTATTAGGAAGAAGAAGACTGTGAAAGAAAGCACAGCTCCTGCTTTAGGAGACAAAAATACTCTGTTCTATGAGATGGCGAATGTAGAACAGAGTAAATTCTGAAAAAATGAATTTTGTATTATTTTAAAGCCTCTTTAAGAATGTATGCTTTCCATGCATAATTATTAACTATTAATACATTTTCCTTCATATTTACGGTCTGATTTACAGTCTGTGAATCTGACATGTTATTAACTTCCTGTTTAAGGGGAGTTTTCCTCTCCACTGTCGCTACATGCTAGTTTGGGGATTGCTGTAATGTCCCTGGCAGATCATATCAGTCACTCGATGCAATCTGCTGGGTTTTTAAAATAGAAAACTAACTTTTAATAATGAACTGAACTTAATGCACTGATAAGTAGGTTTAACTGGAATGTTGACTTTGTGAAATACCTTGAGAGGACTCTTCTGATTTGGCGCTAAATAAATGAACCGAATTGCTAGCAACTAAAAAAACAAAGAGCTTCTCTAAAACAGTTCAAGAGGAAGTCAGGCAAAGCTGCGTTTTATCTTGCAGGAACCATTCAAGCCACGACGTGGAAACAAACAAACTAAAGACAGATTGTTCATTGAAAAAAAGAAAAAAAATCCAGGCCACACAACAAACAGATCGATACGACAAACCCAGATTCAGCCATCAAAGAGACAGAAGACTGGTTTAGATGAGCCTCTCAGGTTGGTCATTACTGGCTTATGTAACTACATCCAGGTTTTCATGTAGTTTAATCACAAAGACAAACAGAGTACCTTTGACAAAGCAGTCGACTAATCTGATAAGGTAAACAAAGCAAAAAAAAAAAAAAAGAAAAAAAAGAAGCCGTTTTTCTTTTAGTTTGCAGTTTGCTGCCTTCGGTTCAGACACGAAATGCCCAAGAGGGACAACAGATATATTATCTAACGCTGATCCACACACACTTACAGTATATGAGGATGGAGGAGGTAGCATGCTTACATAACCTTACACACTGGTGAGCACAAAGAAAGAGGCTCTGTTGAGTCTTTAAGAGCCCAACAGCAAAATATGTGCAAATTACAAGCATCAGTTCATATCAGGGCCAGACTCAAAGAGAATTAGGATAGAAAACTTTGTCAACATTCCCAGCTTTGTCTCCTTTCTCTCTCGTGCTTTTTTTTTAATCAGTCATGACATCTGATCTGCTACAGGAAAGAAAGGAAAAAAAACAATGCACCTTGAGGCATAAAGGAAACCCGACCGTTGCCCTGTCACACCTTAGAGCTGTAAACCAGCACCTGGTGGCCAGGCACACAGATGACGTGTGCTTTTAAACATGCAAAGATGGCTGACTTTTTTTTCCCAGTGGATACATAAACCCCCAAATGGACAGAGATGGGAACAAGCAAACAAAAAGAAATATAATCTTATGTAATGTGTTTAAACCACAAATAGTTCCGTGCCAGTGGCAAAAATCCACACATGCGTCCATAAATAAACCAGGGGTGCCATCTTGTAACATAAACAGTGACTACTATGTCCCACATACATGCCTGTAATGTTTCTCCACATACAAATATATCCCTGTTTTTTTATGTGGTTGCAATCAGCTAATCCAGCAAAAATGCACACCCTTAATCTTCAATTAGACTTTGACTGATAACAGCACGTGTGGTTTTGAGCTAAAAATAAATTCAGGCATGGTAAACATGTCTGAGACCCACAACAGAGGAGATCCAATACTTCATGTAAAAAGCATGAAGGTGTGCAGACTGAGAGGGAATTAATGAGGGGTGGCAAGTTTTTAATCACCTAATATTTCTAATCCTGGAGATTAGAGTAAATATAAGGAAAACCCAACCAATCAAATGTTCCTGATAGGTTTTTGATCAAATTTATATCATCTTTCATCTCAGAAATAAGGAAAATGTTTGCAGAGCTGAGCACTGAATAGATTTACTCATCACAGCTGCACACTTATAGCCTAGTGAACTAGACCAAATTCTTGCTTTGCAAACTTTGGTCTAGGCACGCTCCATTGGAACCTCCGCAGCTCCTACCAGGACTCTGGCTAGCCAATCACAGCTCTCTAGAGGGGTTTCAAACACATAAAGAGCTGTGATTGGTCCATAATGGTGGGCCAATCATAGTGCTCTATCTGCTTAGTGAACAAATCACACAGCTTTATCCGCTTTGTGGGCCAATCAGGGCACTCTATATGCCTGGTGGGTGGGATGATGCAACAGAGTGAAACAAGAGTATGTCACATTCATTGTCCAGTGGAATGCGGAGTTCATTTGAAAGACAACGGTAGAACCCGCCCCACAACCGAGAGCCGTCAATGGAGCGTTGCCAGACTAAATAATACATTTAATTAGTCTGGCTTGCCAGGCTAGCACACTTACAGTGCTCAGCATAATGTGATCACCCAACTCCATTGTTTGGTTCTTTTCTAACGACGGACTATTGACTTGTTTTTACATTATTTTTACACTGTAGCTATCCTCAGAGCACCACCACTGTTGGTTGAATCACTTCTTTCTCCGTTAATCCACAGGCAGCAGAGGACGATGTCACCCTCTGCTGCCCACGTCGTCCTCACTGTCCCATGTGTGATCCAGAGTGTAAACTCCATTGTCATATTTCTATCACTTCCTTAATTCATCTTTTGTATTTTTGTTGTTCAGTGTTCATGATCCGTATTCCTTCCCAGTCCATTGTATGGTTTTCCCTTGTGCAGTGGTCTGTTACAGCTGATTTCTTTAATGTATTTTCTGCTTCTTGTTGTACTGCCCTTGTGTGTCTTTGACTTTCAATTCAATTCAAAGATACTTTATTAATCCCAGAGGGAAATTACAGTTTCAGTACAGATCATTTGCTGATGTAGCCCAGACTCTGGAACTCTCTCCCCCTGAGCCTGAATACAGTGGACTCAGTGGTCTCCTTTAAAAAGCAGCTGAAGACTCACTTGTTCAAGCTGGCTTTTATATGATCTTCTTTACCACTCTCTCTTTATTCTGCTCTCCCCACCTATTCCACTTTCCTCATGATACACTGACTTCCCTCTTTCCTACTCACTCACTCTCTCTTAACATTTTGTTTTTAATCACAATTGTCTATTTTTTGCTCATTTTAAATATATTGTCAACCATTTTCTAAATTCTGTTTTATATTTTTTGTTTTTGTGAAGCGCCTCGTGATTTTTATCTTGAGAGGCGCTATAGAAATGATATTTTCTTCTTCTTTCTACACACAATTCTGAGATCAGACATACATACAAACATAGACACATGACAAGAATTGGTGACTGAGGTCATTTGCAACCCGAGTCGCGCTACCTTAATAGAGATCAGAGGGTTTTACATGAGGACTGGGTCAGGTGGAGGAAAAAAAAGGCACTTCAGAGTTACCCTCCACAGGGAGGGCAGCTTTGCTATGCAAAAAACACCTCAGACAGAAATGCAATAGACTTTAGGCATTACGCAACATAAGTGTGGGGAGGTAGGGTTTGGGACTCTCCACACGTCAGTGAATGCAGCCGCAGTAAGCAGCGCTCGTCACCTCAGTCTGGACAGGGGGAGGAGGTCGTCAGGTTTAGAGGGCACAGTGACTCCTGGAACGATTCAGCGGCCTTCACAGCTCGCAGTCCCACCCAGGCTGGGATAGGGAGACAGAGTTGCCATGGCGATGGCAGCATTCCACATTTCTTCTGAGGGGGGTATTCGTTTCAGCCTCACAGGCTCAAGGGCACCAGATTCAGATAAGAAATTGTTTGGGGGCCAGACAGAGATAATTTCTTCTCTGTCTTAAAGTTCCACTGGTCCTCAACCTCTCAAAATCCAATAATGGTGTAAATTAATCTATCCCAATCCATGCTGATTCGTCCACTCACTCCTTGATCGCATCAATCTTTTGTGCCAAAGCATGAATCGCAGCCAAAATTCCAAGCTTACGACTCGTCTTGACAATTATATGAGTCTGTGTATTCACAGCGTGGTGTAATCCACCCCTGAGCTCCGGGAAAGAGCCAATATTCCTCGACAGCTCGTTAATTTTCCGGTAAGCCAGGTAACCTCCCAGGCCAAAAAGCAGGAAACCTGACACCAACACCACGAATATCCATACGTCTTCAGAATCCTCTACAAACAATTGAGATAAGCAGATCAGGTTCCACTGTTTCCAGGAGTCCATGATATGCCCAACTGGATCTGTCCCAGAGGGGCACCCGGGAGCCCCTTCTCCCGTTCTAATCGTTGAGAAAATTTTGTCAATCGCGTGGAGAGATCAGCTGACCAGGTCCATTTTTAATAATTTCCAGTTTCCAGAAAAAAATGTAGAAGCGCCGTACACCCAAAGACAGACAAAGAGCCTTGGGGATAAGATAGGGAGGAGAGGAGGAAAGCGTCTGTACTCTCCAAGAGCCGGAAGAAGTTGTTTCTATCTTCCCATTTCACATTTTCAGCAATGGCTCCACATGGAAAAGAAATGTCACAAAATCTGAGAAAGAAAATTAATTCTTTACACAGAAAGGTGAGGGCTACAAGAAGATCAGCAAAGCTTTACATATCAGTCAAAATTCTGTAGCGAAACTGATTCCAAAATTTAAGAAAGATGGAAGTGCAACCATCTTACAGAGATGTCCAGACCTTCTCAACAGGAGCGTCTTCTGATGAGAAAGGTTGCAGAAAATCGCCATGCAAGTTCATTGCAGTTAGCTAAACCAGTAGAAAGCCAAACTGGAGGGACCGTTTCCCGTGACACCATACGGCGCACACTGCAGAGGAATGGCAGGCACAGGTATTGTCTACAAAGCCTCTCCTAAAGCCCATACACAAAAAAGCACACCTAG